TCCTGCTTATTACCCATGCTCCTCGCATTGGTGTACATGCACCTCAACTCCTTTCCACCACTTCCTTTCCTTGGAGTTCCCAGCCTCCTCCTTCCTCCCATCCTCCCTGATACCTGGCCCCTCTCTGTAGGAGTCCTGTCAGTCCCTGCAGTACCTCTAAAACCCTGCTCCCAGAGCCCTGGTCCTCCCCCCACACTTGTCCAGTGCAGGCATGTTTCTGGGGGGCCTGAACCCCTCCCCCCAGCTCAGTTTAAAGTCTATCAGACGAAGCTCGCTAGAGCATCTCCAAAGGACTGAACTTGCACTGCATCATTTGGCCAAAGTAAGAAGTTCACTTCTCAGCTTAGCAGTCTGAAAGACAGCTCTACAGGCCTTCACATAACTGTTGGGTGCTCAGGAACTCTGCCCACTTGTTGATTATTTAAAATCCTGCACATACTTTATTCATGATTTTTAAATATGCAAATCTGCTTTGCTTGATTGAGAAAGGGGGATGTCTTTGTGGCATTATAACTACCAGCCCATCAGCACTCTTGGCACTTGGCTGCTGCTGATGGGCTTGCAGAACTGACTTCCTTTGGTCCTCGCTCCTAGAGAAGAGAGGACACCCCAAAAAGACATAGTGTAAGGATGTCCACAGTGTCAGTATCATCTGAAAATGCAGGGCCTGTCTTCATCCGAAGGTTGTGAGCTGTGATTCAGGAGACTTTGGGAGCTTTTCCCACGAACTTGGTAGATGACCTTAGGGCTCATGTTCAGCATTGCTTTCCCTGTTTGCAATATGGGATAATAATACTGACCTATTTAAAGGGTTGTTGTAATGTAGATGCCCGAGATAATATTATACAAAATGCTCTGAGCATAAGTATTACTATGTGAACAAAATAAGCTTTCTGGATTGTCACGGTATGTCTAGTTTACTCAGCTTTCAAGGAAGACAATCATTCCATAGAAGGGTGAACATATTTCTAGACTCTCTAGCTGGCCTGTTCAGTAGTTGCTGCTATTTTTATTCCACCCTTTAGGACCAAGTGTTCCCCAGACAGACTATGAATTGATGGAAGATTGGTGTATGATGGGAAGACTGTTTAGCCAAGCAGGGGGCAAGGGAAAAGCATCTCTCCCCACACCCAAGAATCCGGAGGCTGTTCACAGCAAGGGGACAGAGATCCCTTCCCCAGCCTCTGACTGATAGGGCTGATCAGCTGGTGGCAGGAAGAAGTGGCCAAGCCCCCTAAACTCTGTGGGGGTCACGGAGAGGGTGCCCATTGGATGTTTTAGGTGCTTATTTACAGCAGGTCACCTCACGACGTAATTTCCTTTTGCCTGGGGGATGCTGCTTCTGTACTATCCGGAACTAGCTAAAGCAACAGACAGTTCCTTCCTGGCTTTGTAAACTGATTAAGGAAATGTCCTTGATCTTTTGTTTCCAGACTCCTCTTCCAGACAATGAATCATCCTTGGTGCCTGGCCACAGCCTAAAGCAGGTAATAAATATCACAAAGATTTATTGCATGGAACAGTGAAGCGCAGTATAAAAACAAAAATTATTCCACACTCATAGAATCATAGAATAGTAGAGCTCGAAGGTTGTTTCAGGTCTAAGGGATTTGTATCACAGCTTTCGCACAGCTGCATCTGTTCAATATGGGTATCTGTGCAAGCATGGTTTTCAATACGGGACACAAGAATTCAGCATCCTGAGAACCTTGACTTGCTTTTCCTCTTTGGTTTCTAGCCCTCATGATTATGAGGACTCACTTACAAGTGTGCGGACAATGCCTGGAGAAATCGGAACAGAGGAACATCAGTACTGAAAGGCCGTGTTCCCCTGCATTGTGCTTCCAACAGCAGCAAGCCATTAGGGCAGAGGGAGCAGGACTTACAGCAGTCAGGAGATCAGGAGCCCTTGTCTATTTCCGTGATTAGTGAAAGCTGTAGAAATGATGCAAAACAAGCCAATAGATTGAATGTTGCTCAGTTTATGTAATTTATGCAGCTCACTGAATGTCAGTTCGCTTGCTGCAGAGTGTGTGTCCTTTTCAGTGGCCACACTGAGATTTGGTGTAGCCTAGTGGCAGAGAGACTGGTTTACAAATCAGGAAGAAATCTCATTTTTTCCAAGAACTCTGGAGGCAGCCTGTCGTGCCTGATGGCTTGACAGAGACATCAACTCGCGAGAAAGAGTCAAACGTTCAAAATGAGAATCAGGCATTAGAACAAGATGACTAACAAGATGACTCCTAAATATCAGGAGGCACATAGCCCCCCAACACCCCGACTCTTTGCCTCCTGATATTTGCTCAGCAGCCCCAGAGTCAGGCTGCAGAGGGGCCGTTTGGCTACTGGGCCCCAAGTATAAGTCCCCTTGTTCTAATGTATGATTCTCATTTTGAACGTTTGACTCTTTCTCGCGGGTTGACATCTCTGTCGAGCCGTCAGGCACGACACAGCCCTAGGCTAGCTACCCTATTGCATTCCTTCCCCCTCCATTTCCCCCAGCCTACTGCCCTCTGGATGGATGAGTCAGACCTTAACTCCCAGCAGCCCTATTGAGCATAGCTAATGGTCAGAAATGCTCGGAGTGGCAGTTCAAAATATCTAAAGAGCACCAAGTTCGGGGATCATATTTTAAAAGTACTGGGAGTGCTCAGAAGGAAACTGCTGGGTATTAATAATATTAATGATATTTTTATCAATGGAATTTAGCAGTAAACAAGAAATGCCTGAGTTCTCATATTATTGTTAATAATAATTGTGTTATATCAAGTGAGAGTTTTACAATTTTGAATTGAAATTTGTATTGTGGGGGTTTCTTGAAAATACTGAACATTTTGTGACAACCCTCCATTTAAAATAATTCTGGCTTCAAATTAAATCTTAACTTAAAGGTACACCTCTTGAAGGGAGAAGCATGGTCCATCAATGGCTACTAGATGTACCTATGGTATTGGTGACACTAACAATTGCTGAGGATGTTGTCACACTCATATTCTGCTTGTGGACATCTTGTTGCCTTCTGGTTGGCTGAGGTGGGAACAGGAAGCTTGACCAGATAGGTCTTCAGTCTGATCCAGGTTCTTAGGGTCCTCTCTCAACACATTGAATTCATGGTGCTTTGTATGGAAGAAAGAATCAGAAGCAAAAATATCTGACTTTCCAGGCTGAGCACTCATAAATATGACTGAAGTGTTCTGGCAGATTTATTATTGTGCAAATTGTGACTTAATTAAACTTGCACGGCATCCCTTTCCTTTCCTCCCTGCCCCTCATCCAGCCCAAAATTAGTTTCAGACTTAAGAGATGCCAAGTAATTGGAAACTGGTCAGATGCTTGATTGCCATGATGCCAACACTGTTTGTTCTTATTCCTCAGGTTTCATCGAACAAAATTCAGAGAGCAGGGAGGCTTCTCTGTGCACACTTAGTAATCATGTACCCAGACCTAATCCGTGACCACAAGCACCACCTACGGCTTCACAGGTGCGCACAGTCAGGCCCTGTAACAACTGTTAAGCTGCAACATTGTGAGCATGTCATTGGCACTGTGGTTGGGACTGAAAACAGCCGCCTGGGGATTCTTGCATTTTCTCCACTGGCCATCTTCTTCCAGTAGGTAGCAATGGGACAGGGCAGGCAAGAACAAGTAGGTCTTTGTTCCTGTCTACCTTGTGTGTGTCTTTGCTCCTGCTCTGGGAAACATTTGTGAATAGGCCTTCATTAGTCAGCAGGCCAGCAGGACTGCATTTTGGTACACATGATCAGTTATCTTGAGATTTGCTCATTTGTCTGAAAAATTTGATTACAAAGTAGGGGAAGCATCCTCATAGAATTAGGGTCATGTGGCATCTCTCTGCTTGGTTTATCCAGCCTGTTTCATTTCATCGGATCTGCTCTAAGAAGCACCAAGAGTGGGTACAACTCAGCATGTTCAGAGCAACATGAGCAGATACAGAAGAATTGCTAGAAGATCTGAGCCAGAAAATGGATGTTTGTGGTGGAAATGCAATGATGATATTCTTCATGAGGAGAAGGGCTTTTGAGGCAGCACAATATGCCTGAATAAGAAATCTCTAAAACTCAATGACCCCTTTCTCTCCCTTACCCATCAAGAATACTGTATGGGTGTGGTTAATGGGACTATTTGGTGCTTTCAGAACCTGGGAATGTGAAACTTGAGTTTCAGAAATGACTGTATAAAACCTGAAACAAAAGTTTTATCAGCAGAATTGGCATGCCAAGATTGAGGTTGGAGCTATGTATTATGAGGGAAATCTGGGGTTCTTGACTGTGTGCTTTGGGGAAATGTAGGGCAGGAATGGGGAGAACTGGAAAGAGGAAAGTGGGGGAACTTAACCCTTCTCTTTCACTGCTAATTCTCTCCTGGAAATACCTGCCTTCCCAAGCATATTTCATTTATTTATTTAGTTAGTTATTAAATTATTGTCTTTTTAAAGGATTCCCTTAGGTGGCCTCCAAAACTGAATGTAAACTCCAGCTGATGAAAAAATAGCTGCAAGAAGGGCATTTCCAAGTGAGACTAAGTGGGTGCAGGAAGGGCTAAATACTCTAGCCATCACTCACTATATCTCCCATTGCCCATCCTTCAATCCATGTTACTTCAGCAGGAGATCATATTGCAAACCCTGTTCACTCCTAACACAGCAGCAGAGTGCCTGTGTTGAATGTAAAAGATCCCAGAATCAGTGCCAGCTATGCCTCCCTCCACAGCAGAAGAAATCAGGTAGCAGATGGTGGGAAAGATAACAGAGGAGGTGGCAGAGGGCTGGATAGGCGAAGTGCCAGAGCTGGTATCAGGCAACCTTCTATGCTTCCTAGAGAGAGAAGGTTCAGCTGGGCTTGCATCTTGGTCCCACGGTAGCCACCCAGATGCTTTCAGGAAGCCCAGCCATGGCAAGCAGGGTTGGAAGGCAACAATCTTCTCCCATTATTGTTCCCTAGCAGCTGGCACTCAGGAGGCAGGTGCCTTCTGGCCCATCATGCCTGGTAGCCACTGAGAGTCTTTTCCTCTGTGAATTTGGCTAGCCTCCTTCTGAAGCCATCTGAGCTAGTGGCCATTGACATATCTTGTGGCAAGAAGTTTTCTAGATTATTTACTCACAGCATCTACCCCTGTCAAAAAGGCCCTCAGGTCACCTTACAAAGATAGTAGCATGACAGCCTAAGCCCTCAGGCTTGTGACATCAATTTAAGATGAAACACACAAGAATAAGTGGGAGGAAAGGTGGATCTATATAATTTTGTTTTAAAAGCCTATTTGAAGAGATGGTGATTTTGACAGTTTATTTCCTCTTCCTCTCCAGCTCACAAGGCACTTGCATTATCTGTTTTTTGTTTATCTCAGAAAGCATCACCAAGTCCAGTCAGAAACAAAGAGTGTAGAAAAAACAGAGCACATCTGAAATGCCGAACTTTCTTGTCTGGCTCCTTGCATCTCAGGGAACTCTCTGCAACTTTATGTCTCCCTTCCAGGCAGTGCTGCTCTGGGAAGGAGCTGGTGGATGCGCTACTTAATGCCAGGCTTTCTGTGCTGACCCGTAGCCAGGCCCTTGGACTTTGCCAGGTGCTGATGGATGAAGGAGTCCTGGCTCATGGTGAGATGCTCGCCATATAGACGGCAGTCTTGACTGGGTGGTGCCTCACTGTGGGAAGTGACACATTTGAGCAGCTGGTGCTCAGCACATTCTGTCCACATCTGTTTAATTTCCTCATCTTGGCCTGTTGTGCCCCATGAAAAGCCACTGGCCCTTTGACCCGTCTGCCAGGTGCAGGGCCAGCTATGGGAAGCACAGGGCTCCCTTATTAGAACAGCTTCACTGGGTTCTGCTCTGCTTTTCCAGGCCAAATTCAAAGCACTGATTATGCCCTATGAAGCCTTTTATGGCTTGGGATATAAAATAAAACCAACCCTACAAAGGATGTACAAATGAGGCCTTACCATTGGTCTCCTGTGAGTGTATGTGCATAGCCTGCTAGTGTGACCTGGGTGTCAGGTCACAAAGGGCTGCCCTTTGCGATGTCAAGCAGTCTCCCCCTGAACTGTGCCCAAGGAAGAGACAGACACGCAGCCATCAACCTAGCGCTTAGCTTTGACTGAGCTGCTGCAAGGGACCAACCCAGGAGCTAAGCCCTGTTGCAGGCTATGGTAACTGACTCTTGTCAGGGTTTGATACATCTTTTTGATTTTTCTTTTATTGCCTGAAATAGGAACAGGTGAGGGGGGGCGGTTAAGAAATGACTGTCAAAATATTCAACCCTGCCTGATTCTGCAAGACTACTTCTGTGCAGTTTTTGTAGAACTGTATTGCAGATGTGGCAATTTTTGTCATAAATGTGCTTTTAAATTTTTAAATTATGGTGTATGGTCTGTGGGCTATTAAACCAAACGAACTTGAGGTAGAATGGTTGTTTCCATTCTTGCATGCAGGAAACAAGCTGTTTGAGCAGCAGGTACTCAGCTGGTTCCATCCTCACCCTTTTTATTTCCTGATATTGGCTAAGATGTTTTTCTATATCCATATTCACAGGCCTTTTGGCCCCAAGCCATGTTCAGGGCCAGCTTTAACAACAGTGGGCCTCATAAGTGGGCACTCAGCTCAGGATACCCCCCCCTGCTTTTCTTGGATATTCTCCCCCATTACCCTATATCTGCACATCCCCCCCACCCCCAGTAAATGACTTGGAGAGCCTCCAGTGGTTGGACAGCAGCTACAGCCCCACTTCCTTCTCTAGCGAGATGTCTGCTAACAAAGGACAGTCCTCTGTTTGAAGAACTGTCCTGCCTGATTCCAGCATAAAGATAAAGAACATGAAAATCATTGCCTATTGCCAGGTAGCACCTGGACATCAGGTTGAACAGGAAGTCACACAGTCACACCTGGTCACAGGCTGCCACATTATAGTGAGATGCACTCTATTTAAATTACAAAACTTGCTTCCAAATGCATATACATGGCATGTGGAATGGTTATGCGAATTGATCCCTTCTTGTCCTCCTTTCCCTGGTGGTGCACCCTCCCCACCCTTTTGAGGTGGTGGCTCATAAAAGGATGTTCCAGTGGCTACAGGTTCTGGGGATAAAGCAAAGCTGTCCCCAGTGTCCTACTTGACTCTCCTCATCCCCCAGGCAGACATGGGGTTGTGTAGGCCCTCTTACCAACCTCCTCCTCCTTGCTGTCTTAGTTACATCTTGCCTTGATCCAACCTTTTCCCACACAGTACGGCACGAGAGCTACTTCCAGGATCGGGATGCCTATTTCTTCCGCTTTGTGGCCTTGGAGCCCAGTGCTGAAGACCGAGATGGCGAGGAGTTACTGGAGGCTCTGGCACTGCTCACCCAACTGGGCCCCACCGCCCTGCTGACCACCATCCTGCGCAAGCTGTAAGTGCGAGGATTGAGTCTCATGTGAGCAGGGGGAGACCCTTGGGACTTTCAAGGCTGGGTGTATGCAGGACATCGGGGCAGTGAACATGTGACCTGTCAGAGGTGGCTGAACTGGAGGACTGCCCATTCACTGCCCCTGCATGCATTGAAGCAGAGTTCCATTAATTTCCATTGAATTTCATTTCATATTTCCTTTCTGTCCTGCCTGACAGCCAGGACTCTTGGCGGCTGTGGTGGAAGAAGAAGAGCAAAAGGAAGGGGAGGGTTTCACAAAAATTACAGTTCAAAAATACAATGTAATGAATGCATAATACAAAGGCCTCGGTGGTGCGGGGAGAGGATTCACAAAAATTCGGTCTCAAGATACAACGTCATAAAAACAGAATATACACTCGGTAATCTGCACATTTAGAAAAAAAAAGACTATAGGGATCTGATAAAGCAACTGATACTTTTCAAAAAGTATATGCCTGGGAATAGTGGAAAATCTTGACCCAGCACCAAAAAGATGTTAGTGTTGGTTCCAGATGGACCCACTACATATGGAGCATAATAATGCAAGAAATGTTTGTTTTATTGATCATTTTATGGGTTTGGTTGATCATTTGATTCATCCCTTCATTTCACTGCAGTTAAAATCTATTTACAGCTGAAAAAGGTTCCCAGAACAGTTTACAAAGATCAACAAGGAGACATTCTTATCTTCTAAAAGACACAACACAAAAGGAAAAGGAATGGAAAGGAAGGAGATAAAAAACAGTAACATCTGTGGCTGATACACTGGGCAAGGTTGTCTTGCTGTGATGTTCTTCAACCTCCAAGTGGCTCTTGTTTTCTGGCTGATAGATGATCCCCAAATCTGTAGTCTCAGGGAACTGTCGAAACTTATCTTGTTACATGTTGTATTCAGAGGCTTGTAACTTGCTTAGAGTAGCTGTTCAAAAACATAAACGCTGAACACAAAATGTTAAAAGAAAAATAACAAAACCCAGAAAGCTGCACCAATTTAAGGTAGCACTGTTAGAAGCTAAAACCTCTAAAAAAAGAGACATAATTGCCCATCCAAAGACAAGAGCCTCAGGGAACCCTTCAGTAAGGGCATTCCTCAATCTGAGCACTGTGCTACAAGTTTCCTGCAGCTCCAGATTTTGACCCTTTTGTTCAGCTTTAAAAGGTGCATTACTCACTCTTTGTGGAACCAAGTTTGTTATGGCCTGGAAATATTGCCTAGTTAGAAGCCAAAAATTATGACAAAGATTAAGAAATGCTTGCTGTTGCTTCAAGGGCAAAACATCTGTATTTCTGCTTTTTCTGCCACTTACCAGGCCTAGGAGATTCAAAAATATGTAAAGAAAAATTACTAATTCAGTTAACCTAACAATGTGAGTGTGATGAAGTCAGTATGCACAGACTTGAGGGTAAATTGCAGAGTGACAAGGAATCTGGGATGTGTCTCTGTGGTGTGCCATGGACTTTCCTTTCTTCCCCAGCCCTGGCCAGCGCACAGATGAGGAACTTGCACTGATCTTTGAGGAGCTGCTGCATATCAAAGCGGTAGCTCACCTCTCCAGCTCGGTGAGTGACAGCTCCTGCCTCATTTTGTCCCCCTCTAATTTATAACCAAATGAATACCATGAATAACAAGTCGGTGCGGATGGGTTTCTTTTCTTTATCCCCTTTGGATGAATTATGGGTCACTTGCTTGGGGGCAGAGGGCTTGCCTCCCATGGGTAACCTGCCAGCAGATTTATGAGGCTGGCACTACTTTTATTCCAGAATGGCTCAGACACTCTGGGAACAAAGAGCATTCTGGGAACAAAAGGCATTGCCTGGTGAGGGGCACCATCTTATGTGTGCAGTGGCCACTATTTCCCTCTTACATTGTTTTCCCAGAATGTTCCAGATGTTGCAACATTCCAGCTGCAACATCTGGGAAAATAAAATGGCTGCTCCAGGTGGTAGCCACCAATATAAACCTGTTGTCAACAGTGTAGATGCGAGTTATAAAAACCAATATGCTGTTTAATTAAGAGATGACAACTTATGTCCCTCCAGTTACTTTATCCTGCAATTCCCATCTTCGGTTATGCTGACAAGGGCTGACGGGAGTTGTAGGCCAAAATATCTGGAGGGCCACAGGTTACCCACCTAAATTATGTTTTTAATGATGGAAACAAATGAAATGATATTTTTGCACCATCTCCCATTCTACTGATTTTTCCATTTGCTTCCATAGAATTATAGAATAGTAGAATTGGAAGGAGCCATGAAGGCCATTGGGTCCAACTTCCTGCTGTTGCAGGACAGCAGGTTCCACCATATTACATATTAAAACACTTAATTGGATGACACCAGGACATCCTTTTCATGTCATTCTTAGTCATTGCACTTGTGTACATTGACATATCTGTTGGAAGAAAGCTGTTTGCAAATTGCCCACATGCAGCCTTCTGAACACAATGCAGAAATAAACCAAATAATGGGGGAAAATGAGGGGGAAAAGACAAGTCGTTGAAGCATCAGTGCTGCCAGATCAGGTTATGGGCCATTCTACCACCGTACATGCTGGGTAATCAGAGCTAGTGGTTCTGCACCTCATAGCCATATTCCTTGTGCAGCTCTCCTCCACCTATTTGTCCAATCTCTGAGCTCACCCTGAGCTTTGTGCTATGTACTCACTGTGCCCAAAAGCTGTCCTGCTTTTGCTGATCTCTCTGGCAGGGCTTGGTCATGTCAGTATGCATGACATGAGTGGAGCCAGGGATCAGACTAGATGGCCCAGGAGGACCACTTCTGGTTCACTCTGTTTCTATGTTTCTACGTCATGGGCTACACACTCACGAAGCCTTCCTCCTGCTGCAGGTGAAGAGGGAGCTGGCTGCGGTGCTGCTGTTTGAGTCCCACACAAAGGCTGGAACTGTGTGTGAGTAACTGACTGGCAACGGTTTGGCCATTCAGAGTGTCTCCTAGTGTATGTTCCTCCATGCATCACTACTATGCAACAGTCATAGTATTGGTGTTCTGTATTCAGGTCACAGAGGATGGATTCCAAAGTGAGCTGAGTCCCTCTTCTGGTGTTTGGAGAAAGTAACCTGGACTCTCAGTAGTCCACATGAAACAGCCCCTCTGGGCCAACCCTCAGAAACTGACCTAGATGAGGCAAATCATATTTTCTGCCCTTGTTCTAGAGCTTCTCCCACCAATCAATTTCTGTCTTGCCATTTCAGAAAACAAGGGGCCTATCTGGAGTTGCAGTACCAATGTGGGAGGAAATAGAACAGGTTAAACCATGGAGTGCAAGATGGGGCCCCACTTCTTCAGCATCTCTGGAGGGCCTGGGACTGCTGCTCTTGGGAACCAGCTTTGTGGGAATTGTGATCCATGTTGAACCCTGCTGCTATGCCATCAGGCCAGGAACAGTGATGGGGCGATGGGGACTGAGCACAGGCACAGGACAACTCTCTGTTCTGTGATGTCTCAAAGGGAAGCTTGCTCTTGCCTTTGTGCTCACACCTCCTCTCTGTCCCATCCTACACTTCTCAGAGACTGGTCTCTATATCCCTTCAGAAAGGATTTCCACTGGAGTCCTCTTGTCAAGGCTGGCCCAAGACATTTTGTTCCCCGTGGAGAAGAAAAAGTTGTTTGTTCCCCTACTGTTTTGTGTACAAAAAGCAAACTGAACCAGCAGATTATTCTCTCTTTAACTCTGATGGTGGGATGGTGTCCTCCAGAGCACTCAAAGGCAGTAGTCTAACTTAGAGGGTGCAGAACCAAACACACGTCGTATGGTTTTCTCTTCCAACTCCTTGTTTCTCTGTCTCAGCAACTCTAATCATACCCAGCTGGTGTGGCCAATGGCCACACTGGCAGGGCATCTTGAGAGCTGCAGTTGAACGCATTGGGAGGGCAACAGGTTCAGGAGAGCTGTTTGAAATGCTTGCCTCTTAACACTCTCCATCTGTATGATTTGGCAGGGGTTCTGCTTGTACCTGCCCTGTTATGTTTCATGGGGCTGATGTATAATATTTACTTTTCCTAGTGTTCAGCCAAGGGGATAAGGCCACCTCCTGGTACATCATCTGGAAGGGATCGGTCAATGTCGTCACACATGACAAGGTGCGTACGTTTATTCTCTGCAGGGTTAATGTGGAAAGAGCCGTCTTTAGGTTAAATCTGGGCATGGGCTTGGGTGCCCTGGGATTTGTATGCAGAAATCATGTGGAAGACAAGGGTTCCTCCATATTTTCTCCCGGGAAAGAGGTTGCACAGTGGGTGGTATCTCACATACCTTCTTACCCTGAAGAATTAGGCTTCTGACAGTGTGCCTATTATATTGCTGTTTTTGTTATTAATGATGATGATGATGATATTTCAGAGTGTGTATGCCAATGAAGGACTTGCAAACACATTAAATATTTATTTATTTGTTGGTTTATTAGGATATTTTTATCCTGTCCAATATGGTTCATCTCTGGATGGCTTACAATATAATAAATACCTAATAAATACATAAAATAAATAGATATTTTATACTGCCCAGTAGCCAAAGTTATTGTGATCAGGTTAACCAGGGTGCTCTCAGGGTTCCATATGGGTAGCCCGGCCCTCCTTTAGACATTTTTTTGGCCTTATGTTGATGTTTAGGCCACGTTATACTCATGCTATAACTGAATGTACAAATTTGCCACAGACTTTCACAGCACTGTGAGCACTTTGCTCAGCATTCCACTCCTTCTCTGCACTTAGATAAGATCAGACGTGCTGATGCCAGCCGCACCGTGCCAACTTTTGTTCTCAGACAGCCCAACTGTTACCATGCCAAGAATTGTATGATGCCCTGAAACCATGCAATTCAAAGAGTCTCCCAGCACATACTTCTTGAGCCACGTAGGGGCAATGTCAGCTTTCTGCTTGGCCCACAGTCTTGCCCTCTGAAGTCCCACTACTTGCCAATTCCCCCTCCCCCTTAAGGCACCGTGGATGCTTGCATAAGCATGGGCATGCCCACACATGTCTGTGCATGGTAAAGGTAAACTTGGGAAATGGTTTGGCTGCTTTTCTAGCTCACCCACATCTTTTGTAAGGTTTTATTCTAAAGCAGTGATTGAAGTATAGCAGGCAAGCCATAGAAAATGCATGTATCCTAAGGAAATAAAAGAGGAAATAAGACTGACAGGTTCAGGCTTGCCAGATTGGTCTTTGCCTTGTGGATGCATTTACAGGGCCAAATCACTGGGATGCTGCATTAATCCTTCTCCCACCCATGGAGTCTTCCTTGCAGCATCTCTTCCCAGGCCGTGTTAAATCTGTTCACTGCCTCCTCAACCCCAGCCAGGCTCAGAGGTCAGAACTGTGTCTTGGGGAGCAGCAGTGTTGCCGAGGAGGGGAGAATTGGTGCTTGGCGGGGACTCACTGAAGAATAATGGACTCATGCGCTCCCTCTCTTGTTTGGCAGGGCTTAGTGTCCACCTTGCATGAAGGTGATGACTTTGGGCAGCTGGCGCTGGTGAACGATGCCCCCCGTGCAGCAACCATCATCCTCCGTGAAGACAACTGCCACTTCCTGCGTGTGGACAAGCGGGACTTCAACCGCATACTCAAGGTGTGGCCTGGCAGTGGGTTGAATGTCTATATAAGAACAGTTAGCCAAATTGCATCACCAGTTCGATCACATGCAGGACTCTCTGTGTGTTAAAATACACCTCATGGCATAGTAGAGCCCAGCAGGGAAGATGAATGGAGCCTGCGGCTTCCCCAGCATTCATGGGAAGAGGGAGCCAAACTCAACAGCCCCCAGCCACAGTCACACTGAAGAGCTGCCTGATTTGCCCCAGTGCGTATGGCAAGCTTAGCGGAGGGCTAGAATTTAAAGGGTTCAGGTCTTGGTTAAGTGTGATGGCCTGTTCCCCTGCAGCTTGCCTGCTTTGATATACTGCAATTAGTGCTGATCCCATCTTTGCAACATAGACTGTCAGGAGCCAGATCAGGGCGCTGCACAGGACTAGCATCTTGATGCTTTGAGTGATGCTGAGTTGAGAAAGGGCAGTGGCTTATTTCTTTCCTCACTGTACTCTTGGAACAACCCACTGGCAGTTGGAAGCTTTCATCCAATTCCACTTCCAGGGGAGGTCCAGGAGGAGGCAGCATCGCAGTTGGGGCCCCCTGGTTATGGAACAATCTGCCCACCGAAGCTGCCATAACACCAACATTGTCGTACTTTGGGTTGCAGGTTAAAATTGTCCTCCACTCCAAGGCATTTAGTGGCACATGATGGGCTTCATCAGTTGTTCCATCAGGTCTAGATTTTTATTGAAATTTTTGTAGTTGTTTAAAATGTTTTAAATTTGGCATACCAAAATTTTACACTGTAATGCATTGTATTTGCATTTTTATTTTACGTATGCTGATGAGTTGTAAACTGTCCTGGGAATTTCATCTATCAGCAGTCTTGGACTGCTTCAGTAGGCTGGCCTGATACAAGGATAGGCTGGATGTCCACATGGTGGGCATGTCGTGAGCGGAGCCGGCTGGTGCCAGAGGTCAGACTAGATAGCCCAGGAGACCCCATCTGACTCGCTCTGTTTCTATGTTTCTATGATTCAGTGCTGTTTTCCCAACCTCTGTTTTCTTCTGAAGGATGTTGAGGCCAACACCCTGAGACTGAAGGAACATGGGGCAGTGGTGCTGGTCCTGGAGAAGAACTCCCAAGGCAATAACTCTAGCCACCTTCCTGGGACTCCAGGGAGCAGTAGGTACAGTGGAGTAATTTTTCTCTGTTCTGCTGTCTTCCCTCTGAAACAGTGTATGGCATTGGAAACCTGAGCATCTTTTCAGTTTCTCTTAGAAGTGCTTCAAAATTCATCCCAACTGCTGCAGTATTTCCCCCTGGACATTACACAGCACCTGTATGCAAAACTGGGACAAAATGTGGAGTTCTCCTGGTGCAAAATTCTTTTCTTTGGACTGCAGGAACATACTTAATCTCCACTTGCTGCAATAAGATCCACTGTGCAAAAAGTTGAGACATAAACTAATAGCATAGCTCTAGTGCATGTTTATTTTGCTAACTGATACAATGTATCCTATATTCCATAAAGACTGCAAAAATCTGTGATAATGGTGCAACTGTGAGTACAAAGTTACATGCCTGAGATCCTCTCTAATTGTGTGGCCACTGTAGAGTAGAAGACCCATGATGCAATGTGATTGTGAGGACAGTCATTATACACAAAGCAAAACCCAAGGATTATGGAAATCTGTGAATTCAGGAAGGAAGGGCTTCAAAGCTGGTACCTTAAGTGATTTCTGGACATCTCTTGGGCCTGACTTACCTCTGTTTTGCATCTTGTCTCATGCTTTGCTTTTCCCTTCAGATACTCAGTGATGGCAGGGACCCCTGAAAAAATACTTGACTATCTGTTGGAAGCTATGCGCCCAGATGCAACGCTCATTGACCCTCTAGGTAAGTAGGGGACCATTTGACCAAAAGGGCTAGTTAGCACATGGGTGGAAACACCAAGCCAATCCTTGGCTCATGGACCAAATAAAGCCGAGCCCTGGGACAACAGGTTGTCGCGAGCTGGACTTAGACTGGAGCCTCACCTCTGGGACCCTGATGACCTTCCATGCTTTTGAGGCCAGCCCATTCCTTGTTCATGGAAGAGCCATCTCCACGTGCACATTCCATGAACTGAACAAGGGAATCAGTGCTAGTGCATGTGGGCTTTGTGAAGCAGGGTAAATATAGGCCTCTTGGACTGTTTAGCCAGATACTCCTGGGAGGCAAGCATCTGGCTGAGTGCTCCTGTTCCACAATGGCTTCTCTGGTCTCTTCCCAGACACCTTCCTTGGAGATTTCCTCCTGACACACAACGTGTTCATGCCAACGCCCCAGCTCTGCAGGATTCTGCTGCAACAATATCCTTCATGGCATGTGTTTCCTCTGGTTCCTAGTCAGTAGAATGGGGAGGGGGCTGGAGTAGTGGTCTGCAGCCTTCTAGAGTGGGCTGAAGGGCTGGGATCAAGGATGGGCATTGCTGGGCACCTGCTGTGTCTCCTGGACTCGCTTCTCCTCTTCTAGCCTACTTGTTCATCCAGCTGCCTCTCTGTCCCAGACAACAGTGGTGGTAAGGAGGAGCAGTAGAGACAGCAGCTCTTACTGTTGCTTCATCTATCTGCAGGCAAGTGGCAGCAAGATTAGAAAGAGCATATGGTGACCGTGGTGGTGAGAAGGAGCTTTTGCTGAGCAAGGGGACATGGAGGGTGTCTTGCCCAAAGGCCCTTCAAATCCTAATGCTGGCAGTGGCTGCTAGCAAGTGCCACTGCAGCTCCATGCACACAGGGAAAGGGGTGTCAGCCAGGGGCCTGATGTGGCCCAGAGGCTCTTAGTTACCTGTCCTTACTGGGACAATGGATGCTTCTAGCATGCATCTCCAGTATTCCTGGTTAAAAAAAATAAAATTTGGTCTCATTGCAACAGCTTGCACATGTTAAGTGTGGTTAGATCAACCAATGGGCTAGTTTAATATTTTTTTTAAATGCTAGTTTAATATATTCTTAAAATGCTTGCTTAACTGAAAAAATATCCCAGATTAATTAGGAGGCAGATTTTTTACTTACAAGTGGTTATTAAAAGGGGAAATAGCAAGCACCATTGGTAAGTACCAAAAGAGGCATTTCCATCTTCTCACACAGCACACCAGAAGCCTTTTCTTCTGTGATGTTGCTACACATCTGTGCAGATTGCCTGTTAGCCAGAGCGTATGCTGCTTTCTTCAGAGATACTGTTTTAAAATATATGCAACCACGCTCATGTCTATCCTCACTGAGCCCAGCGCAACTTAATTTCAGGTAGGGAGAAAAGTATGGGGTTTTAATTCAGTGCATATTTACCAAATGCACACTTTAGTAACCTAAACAGGAACAGGAAAGCAGTTGGCTGCCAACATCTGTACATTTCCAACATATTTTCAGTGCAGTTTTTACAAAATAATAATGCATTCAATAATGTATATGTTTAAGAAATGCATAGACACACACACACACACACACACACAAAGAGAGAGAGAGAGAGACCAGAATGCCTTATTCCATGGGAAGAATGCATAAATTTGTAAAAACTACACCCAAAACCATATATTTGGAGAAATGCATTCAAACTAGCATTTTTTAAAAGCACACGAAAATTTGCACAAATATTTGTGCAGACTACAAAAATTTGCATCATGGAATTAGGGTGGAACAAACTGCACTGGGAAAATGAGAACCTGAGCAAAATTGCAGCCTAACTGAATAGAAATGCCTGTGGTTAATTGATTAAGGGTGCAGTCCTATGGGGATATGCAGAACCCTCCAATTATGGGATTATGGGAGCCCTGTGCAGATGGTGACTGCAGCCAAGAAATTAAAAGATGCTTGCTCCTGGGGAGGAAAGCAATGGCAAATCTAGACAGCATACTAAAAAGCAGAGACATCACCCTGCCAACAAAAGTGCGAATAGTCAAGGCTATGGTTTTCCCAGTTGCAATGTATGGCTGTGAAAGCTGGACCATAAGGAAGGCTGAGCACCAAAGAATTGAGGCCTTCGAATTGTGGTGCTGGTGGAGACTCCTGTGAGTCCCTTAGACCGCAAGGTGATCAAACCGGTCAGTCCTAGAGGAGATCAACCCTGACTGCTCTTTAGAAGGCCAGATCCTGAAGATGAAACTCAAATACTTTGGCCACCTAATGAGAAGGAAGGTCTCCCTGGAGAAGAGCCTAATGCTGGGAACAATAGATGGCAAAAGAAGAAGGGGATGGCCAAGAATGAGGTGGCTGGATGGAGTCACTGGAGCAGTTGGCGTGAGCTTAAGTGGACTCTGGGGGATGGTGGAGGACAGGAAGGCCTGGAGGAATGTTGTCCATGGGATCGCACTGGGTTGGACGTGACTTTGCAACTACCAACTTTGGTTCTTCAGAGTGGAAGGGTGGAGCTGTGCCGGGATATGGCACATTGTGGCCAGGTAACCTTTCCAGGCCCACCAACAGGGAAGGGGGCTAGAATGACCACTTTGCCCAGGACAAAGTGCCTAAAAAGTCACCTCCTTAAGGGTGTTTCTCTGTGTCTCCTTGACTAAAACTCACCTTTCATTCAGAACCTTCTGAAGGCACCGAGCAGGACAAAGCTGCCTACATTTTGGGCAAACGACAGAAGATCTTGTGCCTGGTGAAGCAGTGGGTGTCACTGTACGGGCGCTTGCTGCAGGTGGAATCCAGTACCATGGCCTTCTTGCAGGTAACTTGTGTGGGGGGAGTGGGCAGGGAGCAAACTGCAGTCCCACAGTTTTGTGGACTTCAGAAACAGATTTGGGCAGCTGGTGCCACCCTTTGTGAGTCCACTTGGAAGTAGGTCCAATGGACTTTCTTTCTGGCACGAATGCCTAGAATTGCAGTCTTAGTGGATTGTCCAGACTGTAGTGCTAGGAATGATGGCCTTAGCTCCTGCTCAGGCTGAAGAGCTGCTCTCCACAAACATGGCCAGGCTTATGGGCCAAGCGTGTTTCTGGAATTCAAGTCATGTTATTGCTCTGCATTCTAATCAAGGCTGCTGCTATTTATCAATGTTACTTAATGTTGTTGTAGCTGTGGTGTTTTAACTCTTTCTTTAGCTTGTAATTTGTTAACTGTCTGTAGTGTGACCTGGCTTCTGTGCAAGAGTGAATACCTTCAGAGGAATGGAAAGCGATTGGGTGGGTGAATGGAGAGGGAGGATGAAGCCTTTGGCATATGTGTAGTGATTCTCAATTTGTTTAGGTTACCGGGCACATTTACAACTCTGGAGCAGTGTTGTGGGCACTCTCACGAAATGGCTGTTGGGGAGGAGCTTGCCTGTTTGTAAAATGGCTATGGTAGTGAACATGATCGATCACAAAGCATGCAGATACGGGGCTAAGCTCCTAACTGCAAGCTCAGACAGGACTGTCTTGGTACTGTAGAAATAGCAGAAGCCTTAAGAAATAGCAGAGAGGGCAGGTGGAAAGCCTAGGGTAGCCCTTGGCGGGAGTCACCCCAGGACCACCGTGCTTGTCCTCACCTGGGAATTGTTGGAGGATGTTGGTGGGCAGTCAAGAGAGTTCCTGCCAGCCAGTCCTGCCACCTCCCTTGGAACAGCTGATGTTGTTGGCAAAGCCTGTGGCCCTCAAACCCAAGAGAGCTGCAGTTCAGAAGTCAGGAGAGGAAGCTCTTCCCACAGCAGTGTCATACCAACAGGATATTTATTTCTTTAGAGAAGAGCATCTGACAAAGGTGAGTTCCTGCCTCTCAGGGTTGCCGTCGAAAAGCAAAGGCTGAAAAGGAAAAGGAATTGAGAGGCAGGGGGAAACCTCTGGGTGACATGTCACCATGCTGTGAATTTCCCTACCCCTGCTCCATGTTGATTGTGGGTGGGGATGCCATACCTTGGGTTTCAGTAGACACAATGACTGTGGTTTCTCCCAAAGTGTCTAATTCTGCTGTGTTACAAAGCCATGCAGGTCAGCCTGGGAAAGTCTCCTTTTAACAGTCTGTGAGAAGATGGGTTCTCTGGGGCAACCAACTTGGTGGCTTTTGCTGATTAGTTTTGGCCATTTCCCTGCATACGGGAAACAACCATCCAGATCTCTGCTGGGGTTTTTCCCTTAATGTTTTAGGTTGTTTGGATTTTAATGGATTATTTATTGAACTTGTTTGGATTTTTATTCCTGAAAACAATGTGGGCTAGTGGCATACTTCTTAAAAAAGCAAAAGCTGGATGTCTCTGTTAATCAGCTTTGGCTGTTCCCTTGCAGAGCCTGACTGAGTGTGCAGCCCAGGATGCTCGCCTTAGCCCGCTGCTGAAGGAGAAGATGCAGGATCGCCGGAGGAACCGAGTGTGAGTTTGGCCTTTCCCTGAATCTTAGAAGTGTGAGCATCCGAAGCGGAAGGCCTGAGTGTGAGTGGGAAGATCAACCCACACTGATGATGGATTGACGGGGAGTGCACCACAAGGCTTGGGTTAGACCCTGATTTGGACCTTCTCCATGCCATTTTGGAGATCTTGGGGAGAAATGGATACACTTTGCAGACATATGAAATGTATCTCTGTGTCCTTAAAGTCACCAACAGAGCTTCAGCTGGATTCAGAAGGAGAGTCAGCCTGCTTCACAAGAGCCCCACTTCAGTTGGAACCTCTACAAAAGACCCCTTGCCCATGTTAGATAGAAACATAGAAACAGAGCAAGTCAGAAGGGTCCCAGGCCATCTAGTCTGACCTCTGGCACCAGCTGGCTCCATTCACGACATGCCCACCATGTGGACGTCCAGCCTATTCTTGAACACCTGCACCGATGGGGCCTCCGCGACCTCCCGGGGAAGCCCATTCCACACCCTCGGGGTCCTGACTGTCAGGAAGTGCTTCCTGGCATCTAAATGGAACCTTGGCTCCCTGAGCTTTGCTCCGTTGGAGCGCATCCTGCCTTCCTCTGCAGGGGAGAACAGGTCTCTACCCATCTCCGTGTGACATCCCCTCACATACCTGTATGTCGCCAACATATCCCCTCTGAGTCTCCACTTCTTCAGGCTGAAGAGACCCAGTTCCCTCAGTCTCGCCTCCTACTCCATCCCCTGCAAAACAGCCACCAACCTTGTGGCCCTATGCTGCACTGACTCTAACCTGGCTATATCCTTTCTGTAATGAGGGGCCCAAAACTGAACACAATACTCCAGTTGCGGGCGCACCAGAGTCATGTAGAGTGGTAGTAATACCTCTCTTGATCTAGAAGCCACACTTCTGGCTATGCAACCAAGGGTGGTGTACACCCTCTTGACCACCGCATCACACTGCTGACTCATGTTTCTCCAGCCACTTGTCCCCTAACCTGTACTTATGACAGCTATTCCTATGCCCCAAGTGCAAGATCTTGCACTTATCCACATTGAACTCCATCCTGTTGTCTCCTGCCCACTTCCATAGTGTGTCCAGATCCTTTTGGATCCTTTTGGATCTGGAGTACTTTCTCCTCAGTTGTGGCCACTGCTCCAGTTTTAGTATCTTCTGCAAATTTGATCAGCAGACTGTTCACCCCTTCTTCCATGTCATTTATGAAAAGATTAAACAGGATTGGCCCCAGGACAGAGCCCTGGGGGACCCCGCTTGTCACTGGCCACCATCCCAATGATGCCCCACTAATGGTCACCCCATTTTCAGTCAGTCAACCATGCCCTAATCCACTGGACAGTGCTTTGGTGTATCCCAAAACTCCTCCACCAGTTTCTCTACCAGGATATCATGGGGCACTTTGTCAAAGGCCTTGCTGAAATCCAGGTATACCACATCCACTGCATCCCCTCCATCTAGCCATCTCGAAACCTTGTCATAGAATTCCACAAGGTTTGTCTGGCAGGACCTGATTTTGTGGAAGCCGTGTTGTGTGGCTGTCAGCCTCCTTTCCCTATCTAGCATCACTAGATCTCTCTCTATTATGAGCCTTTCCACTGTTTTTCCTACAATGGACATAGGGCTAACTGGTCTGTAATCCTAATGTCCTTTCTACTACCCTTTTTGAATATTGGGACCACTGATGCCACCCTCCAGTCCTCTGGAACTTCACCCGTTCTCCATGAGGACTCAAAAATGGAGGCCAGCGGGCGTGAGGGAACCCCTGTCAACTCTCTAACCTGTGTAACCCGTCAGGGCCTGGTGCCTTTTTAATGTCCAATGCCCTGAGGAGCCCCTCGACTTCAAAGGGGGTAACTCTAATCTGCCCCTAAGTCCCCGGCCTCATCTAATCTGTGCAGATCTCCCCCGTCCTGCTTTGGGGAGAACACAGAGGCAAAATAGTCATTTAGCATCTGTGCCTGTTCCCTCATATCAGTCACTGGATCTCCTTCCTCCTTATTTAGTGGTCCCACCACTTGTCTCCCCTTCCTCTTCCTATTTACATGCTGAAAGAAGCCCTTTTTGTTGCTCTTGATGTTCTTGGCAAGTCTCAGCTCATAATCAGCCTCAGCTCTAATACCTGGCCCCTCTCTGTAGGAGGCCTGTCAGTCCCTGCAGTACCTCTAAAACCCTGCTCCCAGAGCCCTGATCCTCTACCCACACTTGTCCAGTGCAGACACGCTACTGGGGGGCCTGGACCCACCCCCCCCGGCTCAGTTTAAAGTCTTCCGGACAAAGCTCACTAGAGCATCTCCAAAGGACCTTTCCCCCATCCTCGTGAGGTGTAACCCATCCCTTGCCAGAAGTCCATTGGCAAGAAACCGGGTGCCGTGGTCAAGGAACCCAAAGCGTTCCTTCTGGCACCACACCCCATCACCTCCTGGCCCAAATCCCCGGACTGGTAAGATCGACGAGAAGGCCACTTGGGCCTTCAGCTCCCTGAGTTTCTTCCGCAAGGCCTCGAAGTCCCTGGTAATCCTGACCACACCCTGCCTGGCCATGTCGTTTGTGCCCACATGGATCACCAGGAGCAGCTGGTGACCCCTGGAGCGAACAAGACGCTCCACTCTGTCCTTCGCATGCTGGATGCATGCGCCTGGCAGGCAGCAAACCTCCCTTGTCTCCAGGTTGGGGCGGCACACCACCACCTCAGTGCCCCTCAGCAGGGAGTCCCCAACAACAATCACCCGCCACCGTGCCTTCCTGGTGGTGGTGGGCGGCCATGCCTTGGTCCTCGCCTCTCCTGCAGCGACCCGCTTGCTGCTTGTGGTCCCAGGCTGGGGGTCCTGCTGGTCCCCTGAGGCCTCATCAGCCCCAGCCTCCCCAAGTGGAGGGAACCTGTTTCCCAACTCCGGATTGGTGCCAGGAGAAGGAGGAGGCCGTGCTGGCCTCCTCCTCCTGTGGGTGACATACCTCCATGTCTCCACAGCTGCTCCTCCCATGGCCTCTCCCTCAACCCTCTGTCCAGAGGGGGGCTGCTCCTGGGGGGCCTGGAGAGCTCTCTCGGCCCTCAGGCACCTCACCTCCTCTTCTAGCAGGGTCACCATCTTGCACCGAGGGCAAGTGTATCCCTGCCTCTCCTGGGGGAGAAGGGCGAACATGTCGCAGCTGTCGCAGCGGACAGCAATACCTGTGATTCCCGCCAAGGCCATCTCCTGGTCTGCCATCGGTATCCCTTCCTAGACCTTACCTTGGTCCCCTGCCTTGTCTGTCCTGCAGTTCCTCTCACTCTCCCAGTTCTCCCAGACAAGAACCCACTCGCACACACACACATGGATAAAATAAACTTAAATTTAAATTGGAAGAAAGCAAAGGAAAGCACAGCACAAACAAACAAAACAAACAATCAATCAATCAAACAAACCTCTGTGTCTCAGGGAACGGAGTCTGCAGACAGCCCAGGCCGCAGCTAAGGGATGCAGACAAGGAACCACGCCAAGAGGCCAGAGCCAAAAGGGCTGGCAGTGGCTGAGCGCGGCCTTATCAGCCCCTCAGGCCTGTGGCCCCGCCCCTCTGCTCCCCCCTGGCCCCTCTAGCCTCTCTGGCCCCGCCCCCTTCCTCTCTGCTGCTCCTGGCCCTCTGCTCCCCTGCCCAGCTCCTACCTTGCCTTTGCCAGTCCCCTGTTCACTCAGCACTCTCTCCCAGCCTGTGCCTCTGCTGCTCTGCCAAGAGGCAAGAGCCAAAAAGAGCCAAAAATGTTCCTCAGCAGCTGCTGTACATAGATATACAGGCTATGATATCAGGGGTGGCATGCAGCCCTCAGAACTAGTGCCCGCTTATCCTCACAAATTTGCCCAATCATAGTCAAACAGTGTGAGCTACAAATCTAGCTGCAAATTGGAAAAGTGACTGAAGGTCACTGACTGGCGACAGTGACACACGCTTTGGTGACTTCCCGCCTTGACTTCTGTAACGTGCTCTACGTGGGGCTACCCTTGAAGACGGTCCGGATACTTCAATTGGTTCAAAATAGAGCTGCCAGGTTGCTGACGGGGACTGGGCGTTATGTTCACATGACTCCAGTCCTCCGTCAGCTTCACTGGCTTCCCATTGAAGTCCGGGCCCAATTCAAGGTGTTAGTGATGACCTATAAAGCCCTAAACAGCTTGGGTCCTGGCTACCTGAAGGAGTGCTTACGTCCATATATGCCCGCCTGCCCCCTGAGATCTGCAGGAGAGGCCCTTCTCCGGGAACCCTCCGTGAAGGAAATTAGGAGGGTAGGTACTCAGAGGAGGGCTTTCTCAGCGGTGGTGCCCAATCTGTGGAATGCGCTCCCCAGAGAGGTCCGCCTGGCGCCGTTGTTATTTGTTTTTCGGTGCCAGGCGAAGACCTTTTTATTCAAACGTCATTTTAATTGCTAATATTATTTGCCAGGGCCAGGGTGACTTATTTTATAATGTTAATGTGTTTTATATTTTTAGTGTTTTATATTTTAACTGATGTTTTGTAAGCCACCCCGAGGCTTCGGCGAATGGGGCGGCATAGAAATTTTTAAATAAATAAATAAATAAATAAGGTGTCACTGCAGGTTTCAACCATACAACACACTGAAATAGATGGAAATCAATGCATTTTAAATCCCTAAACAACCTCAAGGCACCATCTTGTTATGCATGCCAAGTTTCTGGTGTTTAGGTTTCTGGTCGTGACACTGGCAGACAGACAGACAGACAGACAGACACCCTCTTCTGTTATTATAGATACACTTTCATGGCCTTTAGTCCACCTCATCAGATGCTTGAAGTGTGAACAGCTATTGGCAGCCTTTTTGTTTTTGCTGCAAAAGAGTAAGACAATGATCTCCCTGGAAGTAATGGAGAATTTATCTAAATAGTAGGAAACTGCACTTGTCTGCAGCCTTCAATTATCCATTTAAGATGTGTCTATGCAACAGTATATGCATGTGGATGATACTGTGTTACATTATTTCCTAAACTTCTGTGTAAGAAACCCTAATCCCATGGAGCAGCATTCAGATGTAACTCTGGGACTCATAACCCAGTGGGTCAGTGAAAGAGCCCTTCTGGCCTGGTAAGTGCTTTTGTCAGTCAGGGGTTAAGTGTTTTCCTGGAAAAATCTGTGATGAGACAGAGACATGTGAAGGGACATTTATTTTCCTAAAGCAGCAGTGCCTGCCAGATAACAAGTGACCTTTTGTACTTCCATTCTGACATGGAGAGGAGTGAGCAAAGTCAGATAAAATCTGGACCAAAGCATTGGGTTTTCTGTGGGGCACCAGTTAGTTTCTCACAGACTAGATCAGGGGTCCCCAGACTCTCTTGGCCAGTGGTCATAGTTTGAAAAAGTGTTGAAAAAGTGAAAAAAGTTTGAAAAAGTCACAAAATAGCTGCTGAAGGGGGTTGCCATTCATAAGATGTCTAGCTTGGTGGCTGGTCATAAAGCACCTGTTCCCCAGAAGGCGAAGGAAATTAACTTGTCCAAGAATCCTAGTACAATGCAGGCATGCAGTTTGAATGCCTTTTCAATGCACACTTTTGAATGCCAGCGAAGAGGATGCTGGAGGGCAACCTTCCAATTTGCAGTCTGCCTGTCTCCCAGATACTTTCTTTCCAAATTAAGGAATACATTAAAAATCTAGAGGGACAGGGTGGTTGAGATGCATCTGTGGGCACACTGATGTGCACAGGAAACATGTTGTGGCCCTTAGATCTAGCTGATTTGAATTGTTGTGGAGAATGGATATTCGGCAGATATTGCAGGTGGTGTTGCTGTTTTGTGACCTCTTGCACCCCTGTGAGTTTATTGTTGCTGCTCTGCTTGGAAGCATGAATCATGAATCATGCACACTCACATGCATGGGTAAGACCTGACATGGTCCCAGTTGCTGTTAAGAAATAGTGCAGACTGATGGTCTTTTCTTTTCTCTCAACAGCATGGAAAATGGCAGTAACTGTGCTACTCCAAAGATTCAGGTAAACAACTGGTCTTCATACAGAGGCTAGAGATCTCTCACTGATCCCTTTGCCTAAGTTCTGCAGTTGCAATAGATTATGCACAAGTAAACAAACATGTTTGATTTTGCAGAACTGTATTAAGAACTTGTCTCTCTAGACTCACTTCATCCCCTTATGCACTACTGAAATACAGAAGACCTCAGTGAGAGAAAGGCATACCCCAAAAATGTGCAGAAGTAATGGCACTCCATTCCACTGCACACGGGGAATAGATTTGCAGGCTGCTCTTTTAAACCTTTAGGCAAATTTGTTTGGCTATTCCACAGTGAGGGACAGCAACATCTTGGCCCCTTAGCAACTCTGCTATTCTATGATCCTGTGTTTCTATGCACATGATCTCTCTTTTTGTAAAAAAGAAAAGAAAAGAAAGTTTGCGTAGAATCATCTAATTTTCTCAGTAGAACGGATACTAATTCTTAGATTCCATGTATGCAGTGCGCTAAACTGCTGGGCTGGTTGATTGAAAGGTCAACAGTTCGAATCCACACACGGGGTGAGCATCTGTGCTTCATCCCAGCTTCTGCCAACCTTGCAGTTCGAAAGCATGCAAATGCAAGTAGATAAAAAGGTACCACTTTGGTGGGAAGGTAACAGCATTCCATGCACTTCGGTGTTTAGTCATGCCAGCCACATGACTAGGGAGACTGTCTGCGGACAAACGCTGGCTCCCTCGGCTAGGAAACGGAGATGAGCACCGCCCCCTAGAGTCAGGCATGACTGGACTTTAATGTCATGGGGAAACCTTTACCGTTTTTTACCCATAAAACAGGTTTTGTTGTTTGCTTTTTCATCAAGGTCTTTGGCAACCCCAGAAGTGACAGCCTGTGACTTACAAGGCGTTTATGGACAAATAAAAAATTGTGCCCCTGGAAAAACTGAATTCTGCAATCTGAGTAAATTCTGTAAATTAAGAACAATCTGTATGCACACACAAAGATGCACATGCATGGACATACTTCATTCTGCTTCTTTTTCATTATGGGAATACTGAAACTATAGTGTACCTATTTACAAACTATCTTTAACAGCTTGACTAGAAGCCTGCATTTCCTTAATTGAAAAGAAAAATGGAGAGTCTTTGGATGCCAATTCTTCACCTAGTACCATTATGGAATCACGATGGATTCACAGGTTGTGCTGTTAACTGGGCCTTGAGCTTGAAAGGCTTCACAAAGAGAATCGCCTCTGAATGCCTCCTTCCTCCTCTTTCTTTTCCAGGTGCGAAATGCTGTGGACTGGTTTGCCAGCCAGGAAGAACCATTTCTGAACAGCAGCTACACCATCCAAGCCAAGGACAAAAGTAAGTCTTTCTGATTCCCCTGCCCATAATATGCTTTAGGTTTTGTAGTCTGGACAATTCCCAGAACTTCAGGCTGTCATTATGACCAGTGCAGGATGCATAAGCCCCTGGTTAGCTACAGAAACAAGGCTGGGTGATCCTAGTTGGCTTGCTGGGCAGAGCCATCTGTTAGGCACGAGAGGGTCATGTAGGGTGAGAGATGCTGGCTGGTGCAGAGGGGCAGTGGCCATTCCCTTCTGTTGTGGGGCAGAGCTGCAAGTCTCAAGCAGCCTACCCTGTACCCCCACCCCCAGCACACTAGCCTGCTGCCCTCCAGTAAAGGATGCTGTCCCATCACCGGCGTCAAAATCAGGTTCCACTGCAGTCCGGTCAGCTCCTGTAGATGGAATGCAGGGCATGAGGGTGATGTCACCACCCTGACCTCTGCTTTGGGTAGCAAAATATCTTGATGGGTTATATATTACCTGAGCCTATTTTAATTGGGAGTAGGAAGGAGCAAAGCCTCACATGTGGAAAGCATGCCTTCTGTGTAGGAATGGGAGAAAAATGCATTCAGTTTCTGTTTGAATGCAGATTTGCCTGTCTTCACATTTTGGACCCTTATGTGAACTGAAAATTAGTTATTCTTCAATAGCATAGATAGGAGAACTAGAGATGGTTGTACTTCCAAATTCCACTTTATAACTTGGTTCTTCTAACACCCACTCTGCTTTGTGACAGTTTTTCTTTTCAATTGAATGGGAAGAGTATGCATTTTTATTTGCATTTTTCAAAAGTGTGCCACTTTCTCCAATTACTAAAACACGGAAATGTGTTTTCACATTTTAAAGCACACATTTCTCAATGCATGTATTTTTCTAATGTTCTCACAAGTTTAGGAATTTGCAATTTTTTTCTCAAAAACTGTCATGCATGTCTATTTGAAGGTTTAATTTCTCTGAATTTTGCAATGGGATCCTCCGAACAAAATGTGCATTCAAAAATGCATATGTTCAGGAAAATAATATTTTAAAATGCATTCTATTATTAGGGAAATGGCTTGCAAAAATGTGCATATTAGGCAATAGTGCCTATAAAATGCATGTTTTTGGAGGAATATACAACTATATGCGTAACTATTTGAATGTGGATTAAAAAAAACTCTCAAAGTGCAGAAGGATCCAAACTTAAGACTTGAAGATATTCCCAAAATTTGGAAAGAAACTGAACTGGCATATTGAGAAAGGGAAAGCGACTCAGATTGACTGACTCATCCATCCCTCACTCCACTGCCAAGCTCCTGCTGCTTTGCTAATATTCCTGCCTTTGCCTCCTTTGCTCCTGCTTAGTCCCATACGATATCTACAGGCCAGACTACACCTGCCTCACCCCATTGCTGCCGGTGAATGCCTCAGTGCAGGAGGTGCTTGCGTCACTGGCAGACAGCCATGGCTGGACCAAAGACTGGATCCTGGTCAAGCTCAATTCAGCTGGGGGTGAGTAGCGCTTCCTGCAACCCCTGCCCCCCCTAAGAACGAAAGTGGCCACTGGCAGCAGAATTGGCACAGAGATGCAGGCTGCATGAATCGGAGCCTCCACCTTGCCGCAGCCCAGCCTCACGACAGGTGTGACCCTGGCACCCCTTTCCCAAGGTGGCAAGTTGACCTGCCAGCACTCTTATGGTGCTTGATCCACACAGGCGTGGTGCGAGGGTCAGTGCTTGCTGATGGCCCCAGGGCTCCGAGGGGCCTGCTGCCCCACCTCCCTGCCCTGTCTTACCCTCTGCAGGTCGCCTTCCCTTGAGGCAGGTACGTGATCCTGAGGGTTGCTCTGTCAGGCCCAGGAGGCTTTGTAGGGGGGTTACAGGGCAGGCGCCAGCAGCAGTGTTTGGCCACAGTACGGGCTCTTCCCCCGCCACCTGCTGGACTGCACCAGCATCCTGGAGAGGCGAGCAGAGCTGCTCCCACCACCTGGGCAGGAAGGAGGGAACGAAGGGGACTTTGCTACCTCAGAAGAAGCAGTCGTCGTTCAGAATCTTGGCCTACAACTCCCATCAGACCAGGTGAGCATAGACAACAATGAGGGCTGATGGGACTTGTAGGCCAAGCTATCTGGAGAGCCTCCAATGGCCTACCTCACTTTAGTGGCTCCAATTTCACCATTGAGGGTGGGGACTTCCCTGCCCCTGAAGGGGCCACCGGACCTCAGAATCTGGGACTGCTTTCATTTCCATTCTCAGGCGGTCTGCAAACTGATTCTGTGAGTTTGCGGCAGAGGTGCGCAGGGCAGGACAGTGAAAGTTCACAGGGCTGGTTGACTGCCTTCTGCAGTGGCACTGAGCAATCTCTCCCCTCTCTGCCCACCACATGTAGAGATGTGCTGAAACTCTGCAGAATCCATACTTCTAGCATTCACAGTCTTCCTCTCATACTCAGCCCTATCGAGTCAAGCTGAGAAGAAGCCCATGAATGCTTGCAGAACAAAGTTTGTGCAACTGTGTAAACAAAGACTGCTGCATTGGTATGGAAGAAGGACTCTGCTTATGCTGCAGATGTGCAGGGCTCGATTCTTCACTACCTTGCCAGGAATTTGGATTCACAGCCATGTCAAAGCAGGTTGGAGTCTGGGAAGCAGAGCCTGGGGAATCCGGCAGATTCCCACCCCAAAGCAGGTTTCTCTCACACCTCTGTGTTAATGTACACCAATTCCTGGGGAGCATAAATGGGAGGTCACTGTTGCCGTCATGTCTTGCTTGTGGCTTTCCTTGGAGCAGCTGGTTGGCCACTGTGTGAGCAGAATACTGGATCAGATGTCCCCTTGAGTGATCCAGCAGGGCTTTTCTTAACTTCGCACTTCCTTTAGAAAACCTTAAAAATAAATAGAATGCCATGTTTGCATTTATGCATATATTGGATAAGAATTCACTGTATTATTTTTCCCCAAACCACCTCTGAGGATTTGCAGAGAGGAATCTGAGCAACCCGGTTGTGCTGGTCCGGTGGTGCCATCTACAGTCAGCTTTTGTTGCAAAGTTGCAAAATCCAAGTGGATGGAAACTTTCCTTTCTCTTTTTTATTCAGCCACAGACAAAAAAATGTATTTGTGCTAAATGGTGAGAAGGGACTTCTAAAGTGGCCCCTAAGCTCCATAAATACACGCAACCCTTAATTATGGAGATAAAGGGGACAGTTGACATTGAATACAAACTGAGCAATTAAAGTTGGCAAGAAGGAGAATGCAGAATATATGAGTATCTACTGTGAGAAACATTGCCCCCTTGTGGTGCAGACATGTCTCTGACCCATTCTGATCTCTTTCCTGCAGATAAGGAGGTGTTGCCCATGGACGCCTTTGGTGTGTTTACATCCCTGGGGTTGAATGAGAGACTCTTTGCAGTCAGTGTTCAAGAGCTTCACAGCTTGGTGAGTGCATTAAAGAGATTGTAGGGAAAACTTCTGAGGATCTTGTGCCAGGATTCCTTTTGAGGATTCCTTGCCCCAGGCCTTCTGTCCTGGATAGCACTCCGGAAGTATCTGCTGCTCAAGTCCTATTGCAGGTGACATCTGCCTAAGGGAAGTTGTGTGTCAAAGGACACAGAAGGGACTTCAGGTGGTTACTACTTCTATGGGTGCCCTGCACAGAGGTCTAGGGGTGGAGACTTTGAGACTGCTTTAACTTAAAGGGTTGGCTATAGCCATAATCCAGCCTTCTCCAACTTGGCATCCTCCCAATGTTCTGGACAACACCCAATGTTCCTGACTGCTGCTTGTGTTGGCTGGAGCTGATGGGAGTTGAAATCCAAAAACCTAGAGGGCACCAGGTTAGGGAATGCTAGACTAAACTGTGCTAAAGAGATGGGGAAGCCAGGCAAGAGAGGAGGTTAGCTATTGATTCTCTCTTGGAAAGATCAGCTTCCAAGACGTGCCATGCCCCTGTGACCGCATCACTTTCATAAGGGAAAACAATATCTCACTGGCCAGGAAAAGATTCCATTCCATAACATCAGACCACACCAAATATAACCCTATTTGACTATGACTGATGGCTTCCTGGGGAGGGAGGGGACTTAGGAATTCCATTTCTATGATGAGGAAAACATAACCCTTTCTAAGGGAGAGTGTTCAGCTCCTCTGTGCAATGAAACTTTCCAGAGTTCCTTGTGGGGTAGCACACAAAGTAGGTGCTTGTGGTGCAGATCTGTGACGCATGAGTGGGTGGCCACTCGTGAATTATCAGAAAAGAGGAGTTCATATAACTAAGGTATAGGACAAAAGATTTTTTGTATGCACTTATACATGTGGACTTATGCATATAGATGCAAAGGAAGACATAATTATTATGATTGCAATGGAAATACATCTTGTCACGGTAGGGAAGACAGTAACAAGGTGACCTGGGCATCTTTATCTTCAGCCTGCTGGCTAAGTGGTAACGGTTGATGCACAACATCTTTCTCTTTAAACTGGAATGGGAAAAGATAGGCTATCAAATAGAGAATGCCTTCAGATTAGAGGACTTTTGTTGTTGTTAGTCGCGAAGTCGTGCCCAACCCAGCGCGACCCCATGGACAACATTCCTCCAGGCCTTCCTGTCCTCCACCATCCCCCGGAGTCCACTCAAGCTCACGCCAACTGCTTCAGTGACTCCATCTAGGGACTATCCTCTGTAAACTTAATGGCCATACTACTAATGTGCACTGGGACCAATACAGTTACTTCTGTAACCCTGGCTTAGAGTTCAGGCATGGGTTAAAGGCATCTGTGGGGCACCACACTCCCAGGGTCACAACACACACTGTTTTTAACTCCAATTTGCATAGGCCCCCCACCCTGAGCAGCTTGGCCCCACAGTAGGTTCTTCAGAAAGCTTGGATTTCATCAGTTCCAAGGACCTGGCCAACCAGTTCACCGAGCATGACTGGAACCTCTTCAAAAGCATCCATCAGGTAAAGAGGATTTGTCCATAGCTGGAATCTGTTGCACTGTGTTATGAGACCAGGATCAAGGTGGTCTTGCTTGCTGCACCTCCAGTTTGGCCACCGCTTGCTGGCATGACCTTGGCACAGAGCAGAGATTGCTGGCAGTTGCCTTGCATGTGTACAGTGAAGATGTCAGGCTCTTAGACTGCATGTCTTCTGGTAGAGCTGAGTGAAGGCCTTGTGTTTTTAAGGTTGGAGTTCAGCGCAGAATCTCCCAGCTGTTGTGTTTTTTAAGGTGGAGCTGATCTACTACATTTTTGGGCCCCAGAAGTTTCCCAACAATACCACAGCCAACCTGGAGCACTTCTTGCATCGTTTCAATGAGCTGCAGTTCTGGATCATGACTGAGCTCTGCCTTTGTCCAGATGTCATCAAGAGAGCCCAACTGCTCCGGAAATTCATCAAGATGGCTGCACAGTAAGAGTCTGGTGGACAGGAAAGCCTTGGCCAGAAGTGGGCAGCTTCAGGCTTGTGTGACTCATTTTACTTTACTTTACTTTACTACTAGAACCCACCAAGTGGAGCCAAATGTTTGTATAACTCTTTGGTAAGGTGAGAAGTTAAAAAAAAAGTAAGAGATACCAAGTGGAGTCAGGTGTAAAGTAGTGGTTCTTGACAGAAGAGACTGTGGGAAAGATGTATTAATGAACATTAAAGTGAGATGATTGTTGCTACTAGAGTCACATCCTGAAAGCACTGGAAATTGAATCAAATCCCAAGTAGTACAGAATGGTACATGGAGTGTTTTTTTAAATGGGGTTTTGCAGTCCTAAATAAATTACCTGGGATTACTAGATCTAGGCAGGAAATATTTATATTTTACTTATATACTTATTGCATTGTTATATCACCCCCATAGCCCATTGGGCCCTCTGGGCAGTATAATTTAAAACATATAGCAACAATAAAATCACATTTAAATAAACAAATAATAAAACCAATATAACAACAACAGTAGGCAACCTACAGCAATTAAGGTAAAATTAATGCATGGCATAGTAGATTTAAAATAGAATTAAAAAAGATTTTACCTATAAAAATATCTGTCAAATAAAAAGGTTTTCACCTGGTGCACCTCCTTGGGGAGCAAGTTCCAAAGGCAGGGTGCAGCTGTTGAGAAGGCCCTTCTCCTAGTTACCATCCTCATCAGAGGACTTGTGCGAATTTTGAGCAGTGTAAAACTATTTTGACACAATAAACAAAATGATTGGGCAACCCACTGTTGTAGATATAAGAATAGAAAACATTGGAATAAGTTGGCTCCGCAGTATGTTGTTGTTTTATCCTCTGGATTTTTTAAAAAATTAGTGGGAAATGGAGGAGGATTAAGTAAATGGACCCCTCTGAGTACATGCTCAGCCCAGAAATTAGTTCTCAGGCCTGGAACTAAGCCCACAGCTCAGACACAGAAAACTCCATTGCAAGTTTCTCTCACAGCCTAATTTAAAGGGAGTGGCAAACCTTTATGTGTTTGGTATTGTTAAGCAGGTGTGATCATCTACTGCCAATCATCCAGTGATCTATCTTTAGATTCCTGATCTGCCTTCTGCTCTCCTTTGTAAGATCAGCTCCTTTCCCAGAAGAAAATAACTTTGTGAACTAAGCCTCTCCTGGGCTTTTCATTGAGAATGTCTAGAATTTATATTCCACTAAGTTGTCTGCTTGGTCTGAGTGTCCCTTGTGCGTTTGGTTTCAGCCTGAAAGACCAAAAGAACTTGAACTCCTTTTTTGCAGTGATGTTTGGCCTGAGCCACTCCACCATCAGCCGTCTTACCAGGACCTGGGAGGTATGATTTCTGATTTTTAAAGAGCTGAAATGAAATTCTTGTATGCCTGTAAGAAGAAGTGATTCGCTGCATTTCCCAGTTGCTGGTTTGATGTCATTTTGTTAGGCATCTCAGAGATCTTTTGTATTTTCCTGGTGAAGCAAAGGCAGGGTCACACAGTGAAAACAGACAACGGAGTGGGGATGTGAAGCAATGGAAATTGGATTTAAGAGGTACACACCTAGGGCTGAGGTGGACACACGGGAAGACCAGAGGGCACCTGACATGTGCAAGTTGGGGGTGTATTAAGGGGACAGAAACAGGGTTAATAGGGCTAAAAAGGTAGAGGACAAAAGCTAGAGAAATCATTGAAAGATCATTTTACTAAGAGGATGAGTGAAGGGTTATGACCTTCCCCACTGGGAGGTTAGAAACATAGAAACAGAACAAGTCAGAAGGGGTCTCCCAGGCCATCTAGTCTGACCTCCGGCACCAGCCGGCTCCGCTTATGACATGCCCACCATGTGGACGTCCAGCCTATCCTTGAACACCCGCACCGATGGGGCCTCAACGACCTCTCGTGGAAGCCCATTCCACACCCTCGGGGTCCTCACTGTCAGGAAGTGCTTCCTGGCATCCAAATGGAACCTTGGCTCCCTGAGCTTTGCTCCGTTGGAGTGTGTCCTGCCTTCCTCTGCAGAGGAGAACAGGTCTCTACCCATCTCCATGTGACATCCCCTCACATACCTGTATGTCGCCAACATATCCCCTCTGAGTCTCCTCTTTGCCAGGCTGAAGAGACCCACTTCCCTCAGTCTCGCCTCATCCCCCATCCCCTGCAAACCGGCCACCAACCTTGTGACCCTACGCAGCACTGACTCCAACCTGGCTATATCCTTTCTGTAATGAGGGGCCCAAAACTGAACACAATACTCCAATTGCGGGCGCACCAGAGTTGTGTAGAGTGGTAGTAATACCTCTCTTGATCTAGAAGCCACACTTCTGGCTATGCAACCAAGGGTGGCGTTCGCCCTCTTGGCCACCGCATCACACTGCTGTTTAGCCTGCAGTCAACCAGTACCCCGAGGTCCCTTTCACAAGTGCTGTTCTCCAGCCACTTATCACCTAACCTGTACTTATGACAGCTATTCCTATGCCCCAAGTGCAAGACCTTGCACTTCTCCACATTGAACGCCATCCTGTTGTCTCCTGCCCACTTCCATTGTCTGTCCAGATCCTTTTGGATCTGAAGTACCTGCTCCTCAGTTGTGGCCACTGCTCCAGTTTTAGTGTCGTCTGCAAATTTGATCAGCAGACTGTTCACCCCTTCTTCCATGTCATTTATGAAAAGATTAAACAGGATCGGTCCCAGGACAGAGCCCTGGGGGATCCCGCTTGTCACTGGCCGCCATCCCAATGATCCCCCACTAATGGTCACCCCCTGTTTTCGATCAGTCAACCATGCCCTAATCCACCGGACAGTGCTTTGGTGTATCCCAAAACTCCTCCACCAGTTTCTCCACCAGGATATCATGGGGCACTTTGTCAAAGGCCTTGCTGAAATCCAGGTATACCACATCCACTGCATCCCCTCCATCCAGCCATCTTGAAACCTTGTCATAGAATTCCACAAGGTTTGTCTGGCAGGACCTGATTTTGCGGAAGCCGTGTTGTGTGGCTGTCAGCCTCCCTTCCCTATCTAGCATCACTAGACCTCTCTCTATTATGAGCCTTTCCATTGTTTTTCCTACAATGGACTTAAGGCTAACTGGTCTATAATACCCCATGTCCTTTCTACTACCCTTTTTGAATATTGGGACCACTGATGCCACCCTCCAGTCCTCTGGAACTTCACCTGTTCTCCACGAGGTCTCAAAAATGGAGGCCAGCGGGCGTGAGAGAACCCCTGCCAACTCTCTAAGTACTCTCGGATGTAACCCATCAGGGCCTGGCGCCTTTGTAATGTAAGTAATGTAATGTAAGTCTCAGCTCGTAATCAGCCTTAGCCTTAGTGAACAATCCTTCTGCAATGGGCCTCCTCCTCCTGGTATACCCTTTTGTCTATTTCCCCCACTACCCATTTCCTACGGAGGTTCCTCTTTCATCTAACCCCTTTAACCACCTCCTTTCGCATCCATGGCGGCGCTCTCCTCCGCCTCCCCACCTTACTGACTAGAGGTATCGTCAAGGCTTGCGCCTCCAAAACCTCCCTTTCGAGTGCTATCCACCCCTCCTCAACTCGCTTACCTTCCAGTAACCTATCCCAGGAGACTTTCCCCAGTCTGGCCTTCAGCTGGCCAAAGTTGGCCTTCTTGAAGTCCCAGCTTCTAGTGCTCGACCTGCTGCACGTCCCCATTCCCCTGATCTCAAAGCAAAGGATGGAGTGATCACTCGCATCCAGAGCTCCCCTAATCTGTACTTCATCTATCAGCTCCTCCCTACTGGTCAAGACCAAGTCAAGGATGTTTCCCCCCCTCATTGCCTCTCGGACCCTCTGTGTGAAAAACCCTCCCTCTATAGCTTCTAGGAAGCAACGTGATCTGGCTGTCACCACCGAGTGAGTCTCCCAAGTAATATCTGGGAGATTGAAATCTCCCATAATTACTGTGTCTCTCCCCCGAGATATCCTTAGAATCTGGTCTGTCAGGACATCATCCAGGGTCTCAAGTTGATATGGAGGGCGATAACATACCCTCACTGTCAGGTCCCTTTCCCTGTCAAAACCCCTAAGTTTCACCCAGACTGCCTCTACCGAATCCCCATCTGTGCTGCATTCTATCTCACTGCATCCTATCCCTTCCCTGACATATAAAGCCATGCCCCCACCTCTCTTTCCCTTCCTGTCCTTTCTAAAAAGGTGATACCCTTCTTTGTTCACATTCCAGACTTGCCTTTCATCCCACCAAGTTTCTGTGATTCCTACCAGATCATACTCTCCTATTCCCAGGAGAGCTTGAAGCTCTTCCTGCTTATTACCCATGCTCCTAGCATTGGTGTACATGCAACTCAACTCCTTCCCACCACTTCCTTTCCTTGGAGTTCCCAGCCTCCTCCTTCCTCCCATCCTCCCTGATACCTGGCCCCTCTCCGTAGGAGTCCTGTCAGTCCCTGCAGTATCTCTAAAACCCTGCTCCCAGAGCCCTGATCCTCCCCGCACACTTGTCCAGTGCAGACACGTTTCTGGGGGGCCAGAACCCCCCACCCCCAGCTCAGTTTAAAGTCTTCTGGACGAAGCTCGCTAGAGCATCTCCAAAGGACCTTTTCCCCATCCTCATGAGGTGTAACCTGTCCCTTGCCGGAAATCCATTGGCAAGAAAACGAGTGTTGTGGTCGAGGAACCTGAAGCATTCCTTCTGGCACCACACCCTAAGCCGGTCGTTCACCTCAGAGGTCCTCCTTTCCCTTCCTGGCCCAAATCCTCGGACAGGTAAGATTGACGAGAAGGCCACTTGGGCCTTCAGCTCCCTGAGTTTCTTCCCCATGGCCTCAAAGTCCCTGGTGGTCCCAAGCGCACCCTGCCTGGCCACATCGTTTGTGCCCACATGGATCACCAGGAGCGGCTGGTGACCCCCGGAGCGAACAAGATGCTCCACTCTGTCCTTCACATGCCGGATGGATGCGCCCGGCAGGCAGCAAACCTCCCTTGTCTCCAGGTTGGGGCGGCACACTGCCGCCTCAGTGCCCCTCAGCAGGGAGTCCCCAACAACAATCACCCGCCACCGTACCTTCCCGTGCTGGTGGGCAGCCATGCCCTGGCCCTCGCCTCTCCTACAGCGGCCCCCTTGCCATCTGTCATCCCAGGCTGGGGGTTTTGCTGGTCCCCCAGGCCTCATCAGCCCCAGCCTCCCCAAGTGGTGAGAACCTGTTTCCCAGCTCCAGATTGGTGCCAGGAGAAGGAGGAGGCCGTGCTGGCCTCCTCCTCCTGTGGGTGACATACCTCCATGTCTCCGCAGCTGCTCCTCCCGTGGCCTCTCCCTCAACCCTCTGTCCAGAGGGGGGCTGCTCGGGGGGGGGGGTCTGGAGAGCTCTCTCAGCCCTCAGGCACCTCACCTTCTCCTCTAGCAGGACCACCATCTTGCACCAAGGGCAAGTGTATCCCTGCCTCTCCTGGGGGAGAAGGGCAAACATGTCGCGGCTCTCGCAGTGGAGAGCAACACCCATGACTCCCGCCAAGGCCATCTCCTGGTCTGCTATCGGTATCCCTTTCGAGACCTTACCTTGGTCCCCTGCCTTGTGAGTCTTGCGGTTCCTCTCACTCGCCCAGTTCTCCCAGACAAAAACCCACTCGCACACACACACAAGGATAAAATAAACTTAAATTGGAAGAAAAACAAAGCAAAGCACAGCACAGCACAGCACAAACAAAAACAAACAAACAAACAATCAAACCTCTGTGTCTCAGGGAAGGCAGTCTCCGGACAGCCCAGGACGCAGACAAGGGATGACGCCCTTCCTCTCTGCTGCTCCTGGCCCTCTGCTCCCCTGCCCAGCTCCTACCTTGCCTTCGCCAGTCCCCTGGCCACTCAGCACTCTCTCCCAGCCTGTGCCTCTGCTGCTCTGCTGCTCTGCCAAGAGGACAGAGCCAAAAGGTTGGATCTGGGAAGAGGACGTCAGGTTTTAGAATGTCACAACTCCTGCTAACTCCAAAGCAAGAATTTACTAAGGGGTTGATGTAGTGAGTCATCTCAATTTGACATCATAGCCTAACAAACTCGCAACTTATTTCAACATGTCCTGTGGCTCACCACGCCCAAGAATGTGTTCATTTGGTAGTCAAGCTGAGGATGCAGTGGCCAACCATGCAACACAATGTCAGAACTATCAGATGACTTGGCAATTGCAGGGTGAAGTAAATTCAGATCCAAAGGAGCCCCCAAATGATAGTTGGGATTTGAGAATGGAGTCACAATGAACCCTAGTTAGAATTTAAACCAGGGATGTATGAAGGATTGTTTTATTTATTGTCAGGATTTAGCCAAGTTGAACCTTCCTGACCAGGCATTGGACCCAAATGCAATTTCTGGTCATAGTGCATACAGTTCTGACCATGCAGTGTGATTCATGGATCTCCAAAAATGTATTTAACAGCATACATGCATTGGAAAATATATGAAAAATGCATACTTCTGAAAAATACACACAAATATGCTTTAATCAGTGGGAGAAGAATGTATAGTTCCTGTTGATACATATGGTTTTGAGAAACACACAGACATATATGCACAGATTTTCATTCAAAAAGAAAAAAGGCAGGCAATCTGGTATGGACTTGAGCTGTAACGAACTTCAAGATAGAATGAGGAGAACTTCAGTGAGATTGAGTTTTGTGGATTCACACATCCCTAACCCAACTTGTGTGTTGTTGTTGTTGTCATTGTCATTGTGACCCTTGAAGAAACTTGGAGTGCTACAGTGTGTTACAGGAACTATTTTCCATATGGGTATTAAATATATACGATTCAGCAGAGCAAAGAATCAAGTAAGGCTGTCAGTGCAGTAAATAGATCCTCCCTCTGGGTCACTGGGTCAGTCAGATGTGATCAAGCAGAACTCTGCATTCCAATTGTCTCAAAGGATTCTGCTCCCACAGGCGAGACAGTATGGCAACATTCCCAGACCAGAAGCCCTCTAGACTAGGAATGGGCGATATTGCCCATTTAGCTTTCTCCCACATTTGAATTTTAAATCTTGGATTCAAATAAATCTCAAAACTCAAGTTCTTTCTCCCCTGCAGGGAAAGAGTTTTGCCAATTTGGGTAAGTACTTGCAACCGTGAAGCAGTTTTAATATGTACAGTTATTCCCAGAATAATATGCCTGCCATATAGTTGTTAAAGATAAGGAGCCTGTTTGGGAAAAAAAGGATAGTAACCCTATTCAGCACCAGCACCGTCGACTAGATAATGGTTCACAGTCAGACTTACAGGAGCAAAGCACTCAAAGCCTTGGACCTGGATGGGGAAAAAATGGCAGTTTCAGTTTCTCCCACGTGTTTCTCCTTGTTGATTTGGTTGAATTCTTTTTGTCCCAAATACAGAAGATTCTGCAAATTTATTATCATAATCTTGCCTTTATATCCTGTCTTTTTTTCCTTTTGTGAGAAACTCAAGGTGGCTTTTCCTTGCATGTGCAGCGAACAAATTGTGTGCTACAAACAGAGCAAATGTATACTGAGATCACTGTGTGCTGCCTCCACCAGAAGGACAGAAATGACCAGTCTGCCTCTGAGAAGCTGCTCACATTTCTGTCATAGCTTGCCATGCACATATTCTCGAGATGATTGGGGCACATCACCACTTCGGCTCATGCAGAGCCTGTCTTTATGGGGCAAAAAGTGACACCAATTCCAAAGTGGCACCAGTTTGAAACTGCTATCTGCAAGTGGTTGTGTAAATCAGCTTTTTACTGAAAAGTGAAGACCTCTTTTCCTGGCCAGTTTGTGTTCTCCTCCCCTGATAGTTGTTTGATGGTCTGCATATGAACAGGAGAAGTGAATGAAGAAGGATTGTGGCTGAGAAGTTGTGAGAGGATGTGAAAGCTCTGCTTGTGAGGTTGAGGCATCAAAGCATTTTTGCTGTGCACAAACATGACTTGATGATTCAGTATCACCTTTTGCATGTGTGAACTCATCCTGGCTTGTTCCACTCACTTAGCACTTCTGAATGTCTTTTCTTTGTCTCTCCCTCCCTCTCTTCTTCTCATCTCAGAAGCTTCCACACAAGACACGAAAGTTGTACGGCACCATGGAACGAATATTGGTGAGTGAGGATCCTGTGTACCTTTAGAAGGAGCTGGAACTAGGGATGGGAGATTAATCTGATGGGAGTGAAAATTCAGTGTAATTCCACAAATTACCTCCCAGGTTCTGTTTGTTTAGCCCTGTACTGGTGCCAACTTGTTCTTGTGCAAATTGAGTCAAATTTCAGATTTCTGTCTCTAGGACAGACTTCAATTTGGGCATTAAAAAAAGCCCATGAATGATATTTGCACAAATAAGCTCATCAAAACCATGTGGTTCTACTGTGATTTGTGCAGAATCAACTGAATTTTGTACTTATCACACTAGAGCCATGTGGTATTCGGGTGCTTATTTATGCAAATTCAACTAGCAGTTTTAAAAAATGGTCTGTCTTAGAGACAGAAGCTTGTGCAAACCCCCCACAAAGCCCACTTCCAGTCATTGGGTTGGAAGGGGGAAAGATATCCATGAAGCCCAAATGAGTCAGATTTCCCTGTTCCAGTACCTTAAACCTAACTCTACACTTGGGACACTATACCTTCAGATAACACGCACAAAGGAAGCAGTCAGGTTGTTCTCAACCGCTCACTCTTCTTAGTCAGGGCTGTTTCTAGGCCCATGGACATACCCAGGGACCTGGTTTTCCTAACCATAACTGGAAGTGAGCCCCAAGCCAAACAGGCCTGGATCATTGCTATTCATTCAGGCAATGTGGAGGAAGGCAGCACTCAGGGTGTTCTTGTTGACTGTTCATTGTGCTTGCCCAGTAGAGGCCAGTTCCAGGCAGGGTGTTCTTTCCCTTCCCAGTCACACTTAGCTGCACAACCCTGAACATGCACAGGGACCAAGGATATCCTAATCCCAACCCTTACCTCAAGTGTAATCCTAACCCTAACCTGCAGATATAGTCCCTGTACAGTCAGATAACATGCAGAAAGGCAGAGCACACACTTTGCTTCTCCACTCAAGGGTATTTCCAGACCCCTGGCCATGAGCAGAAACCCAGGTGTACCCAGTCCTTCCACCAACCTGAAGCTTAACACCGACTCTTGTGCTGGTGCTGACTTGTGGTTGCACAGTTGCATCTATAGGATGCACTGCAATTTGCACATTTTTAAACACTAATGAAATGTGTGCAACTTAGCACCCAAAAACCATCATGTAGCACTAGGGTGATTGGTGCCAAACCAACCAATTCACTCAACTCACAATTTGAGTGAGTCACAAATTGGCTTGCAAATTGGTTGTAAATGCAAATTGGCCAATTCTGCACAGGTCAGGCTGAAGCTATGTGGTCTGGGGTGTGTATTTGCAGAAAATTCAATAGCAGTTAAAAAAAAATCACAGTCTGCCTAGAGATGGAAGTCTATGGACAAAAACAACCCCTGACTTGGCCTGCTTCCAGGCATCAGATTGAAAGCAGACAAGAAATCTCTAGATCTCAGAACAGCCCAAATTTCCCTGTTTTGCTCCACCCTTAGCTGGAACCTTGTTTGGTTTTGGGTGTGAGTCCAGATTTCCTTCCCTGGGAATACATTGAGATGAAGCTTTTAGAGACACATCACCCTGCCTCCTTCAGTGAATTTCACAGATTGGCAGGAGGGTATTTTCCAAGATAGTTTTCACTCAAAACCCTCTTGTTTCCCCACCACACTTTTCTTATCATGAAAAATAGCAGCAAATTTGGTGGTGGCAGGGGCAGCACTGTGGCTGATGGTGGCTTTCCCCATGGGCACAAATTGACTCCTACAAGTTGTCCACCTTTGCTTGTAGGCCTTCAGCTGCAGTCTGAAATGATATAGTCCAGAAACAGGTTTACCTGTTGGGCCCCCTTCCTGGAAAAGCCAGGGAACATAATCAAAGGATGGTTTTGAAGGTCAGTGGTTGTATGCTCAGTTGCACACACTAGCTTTGCATGTGCTAACCTTTCTTTTCCTTTCTTTCTAGGATCCTTCCTGGAATCACCGGGTCTATAGGCTGGCCATGGCCAAACTGACTCCACCCATAATCCCCTTTATGCCCCTCCTTCTTAAAGGTATAATAGCATGTTTTGTACTTAGCCACTGAAGGGGTTAAAATTGATGACAGACATGATATCAGGCTAGACATCAGGAAAAGCTTCCTCACTGTCAGAGCAACATGACAGTGGAACCAGCTGCCTGTCCCACACTAGAGACATTCAAGGCGAAACTGGAGAGCCATCTGAGTGGGATGGTGGAACTTTGTCTCTTGCTATAGCAGAGGGTTGGACTCAATGACCTTCATGGCCCCTTCCAACTCTACTATTCTATGATTCTATGTGGTGTCATGGCTATGTGCTTTTTTAATCCTGAGATTTTTGAGGTTTCAGTTCACCAGATAATGTACAATTGTAAATAGCTGAGAAAAAGAACCTGTGGACAAATGCAGAGCAGGAAAGCTTGTCAGCGTATCTGTCCTAGTGGGCTTTCAAATCTGATGGTCAGTGAGTTTTACAATTCAGTCCTGTCCCTGGATTATGCAGAGTTATATCTGTGCCAGAAACATAAAATGGCTTCAGGTGAGACAAATGTGTGGGGCTTTTGTCAGGGAACCTTGAGACATGTATGGGAACCCTGCGATCATGCAAGGAGGGTGCACTGATCCAAAGCATGGTGGCTTAATTTGTAATATGATTTTATTCTTTTAACTGTTGTAATGCGTTGTTTCATTGTGTGAGCTGCCTAGGGAGGCCACTTGAGCAATTATAGGTGGCATATAGATACGGGAATGAATAAATAAAAAAATAAATGAATGATACAAGCATGCCCTGAGGGAGCATTCACAAGAGAGGGAGAGAGACACAGTCAAACGTGATTTTAAATTTGTGAGTGTGACTCCTTGGACTGTTAAGCCAGCCACATCCAGATGTTTAATTTAGATGCTCTGGTGGGGCATTCCTCAGCCAGATGCCCTCTTGTTATATTGGGCTGCAACTTTACACAGCACACTTGGCCACTGCAAGGAGAATGTTCTTTGACCTCCCATAATCTCTTGACCTACAAATATAAATATGATAGAGGATCTAGAACATGAAATGCTGCATTATGCATGTGAATATAAATAACCCGAGATTAATCAGAATCCTACCCTGAGCCAAAGATGCTTACCCCAGCCATGCATCTTTGCACACTGGATCCTCGGCAGCCTCACATCTTGAGCCCAGAGGGAAGCCCAGCTGTACTGCTGGACTCTATTGGCTGCTTACAACATCCAATGAGTAGGCTCACCTTCCCTTTGCAGACATGACCTTCATCCATGAGGGCAACCGCACATTGGTGGAAAACCTGGTCAATTTTGAGAAGCTGGTGAGTGGAGAGACATGGCAGGGGGACCTGGGGTGATCTTGCTGTGCTGCGCTGTGCTGTGCTGTACTACCAGCAAGAACAGCCACCATCCATAAGCTCAGGGGAGGGCAGCCTTCTTGGCTCAAGGGGCCTCATTCTAGGATGAATGGTGGATCAGGGACATCGTGGGCATTTATGTATTTGTGCATGCACACTCACAGGGAGATCCCTCTCTGGGAGCCCTCCTTGAAGGAGATCAGGAGGGTAGTTACCCGGAGAAGAGCCTTTTCGGTGGTGGCGTCCCAACTCTGGCATTTGCTGCCCAGGGAGGTTCGCCTGGCACTGTAGCTTTATTCTTTTTGATATCAGGAGAAAACCATTTTGTCTTCCCATTCTTTTAATGTTTAATAGGTTTTATTCTGGGTTTTATTGCTGAGGTTGGATGCAGTGCCTTGTTTTGTTTTATATTTTTGGTTGTTTTTTTCTTTTTCTTGTAAGCCATCCTGAGACGCTTGTATAGTGGACAGCCTAGAAAAGCATTGAATGAATGAATGAATGAATGAATGAACGAATGAACGAACGAACGAACGAACGAACGTGTGGGAGGTGGGTGTAGAGAGGAGGCCCAGCTCTCTCATTTTATAGTCTTCTCAGTTGCTCTGGATTTGGGGGAGTTGGAGAAGTAGAGAGACTTAGAAACCTAGAAACAGAGCAAGTCAGCAGGGGTCCCCCGGGCCATCTAGTCTGACCCCCCCATCTAGTCTTTGAACACCCTCACCAATGGGGCCTCAACAACCTCTTGTGGAAGCCTATTTCACACCCTCGGTGTCCTAACTATCAGGAAGTGCTTCCTGGCATCCAAATGGAACCTTGGACTTGACAGTCTTGAGGTTACTGAGTGGAGGTGCTCAGGCAGAGATGAAAACCAGCCAGCCTTGGAAAAGGGGGAAGATATTTCAGAATGGGGGTGGGGGGGATACGATGGAGAGGGGATTTCTTTACTCTGCAAAGAGATGACACTGAGCAGAGCAAGCAAGACGTGTCCAACACTCCTGTCGCGGGTACCAGGTCAGGGCAGCAGGATCTGTAGGGGAAAGGGAAAGTTCTGGGCTCTTGCAGTAATCAAAATTGGAGTCACATTTGCAATGACCCCCCTCAGGGACAAGGATCGCTGTTGTGGTACCACTAATAGAGTCTCCTTTTCCCCACCATCCAGCTGGAAATGCTGATCATTCTCCTGCTGGAGATTCTTACCATTCACTTGCTGCAAGATCCACTTTTTGTCCCCCCAGGAAATGCTTGGGGGAAATACAGAGAGGGGGGTGAGCAATTAGATATAACCCAAATCCATGTCTGTTCCATACAGCGCATGATGGCCAAGGCTGTTCGTCTCATGCATCACTGCCGGAGCCACCCCAACCGTGAGTGTGGAAGAGCAGAAGGGGTGGGGGAGAGTTATCCATTTAGCAGCAAGGGGTGTAGCCACAGCAAGGCCTCTGGGCAGGGCCCTGTCCCCAAGCCAGTTGAATGGCTCCCTCTTGAGAGCAAGCCCTGACCTCCTCCTGTTTACTCTGCTTGATTCTGTATGTTCTTTTGGATGTTTATTAAAGATTCCTGGCTCTCCCCATGCGTAGGGCTCTATGCACAATCTGCCAGCACCCCCAGATGAGTGTGTTTGCTGACCTGGTTGGTTTTCAGGTTGGATATGGGTCAGAAGAGGGGGGGGGGAGAGGGGACATTTCCAAACTTGCAATTTGGCAAGGGTTGTAGTTTTGCACAAGGCAGGCCATGGGGAAAGGGATGGCAGCCCAGAGGTCGAATGCAGGGAGAGACTTGCCTGGTTCCATGACAGGAGGGTGGGTAATAAGCCACAGTGGCTCATTCCCCAGACTCATGCATGCCACAACAGAGTGGCTGGGTGCATCCATCGCAATAAGCAAAGGTGTGTGGTGAGTACATTGAGCTGTTGCTTTGGCAAGCAGTTGTGATTTTGGCTATTTTCATTGTTTTAACCACCCACCACCCTCACTTTGTGTTCCCGCCATTGGCATGTATCCCAGTGGCCAGTTGGCCACTGTGAGTGAAAAGCCAGGCCAAACTGCTTCACTCCCAACATAAGCTGCATCTTCCTTACTGGCCCACTGAGTATTTGGGGAAGGTTTTCTCTCCCGCTGCCCATGGTATTTTATTTATTTATTTATTTAAAATATTTATATGCTGTTCTGTTGCAAAAAGCCTCCAGATGGCTTACAACATAAAATATAACATAAATAAATTCCCGACCCACACTGGCTGCAGTTAAAAACATAGAAAAGACAATATTAAAACTTATTAAAATATTGCTGGAATTTGCATCCCTTGAGTGCTCCCTAGCCAATCCACCCTCTGAGGGGATTTCCCCCTGTCCCCCAAAGCCTTCACCCAATTTCTCCCTACTCCAGGACAAAAGCAGCTCAGTTCAGCCAGTAGAAACACAGCAAGCCATGACATGTACATTGCTTGGGAGCCACTGGATGTGTGAAGTGGTGGCAGTTGTCACCACTCTTCCCATGCAACCATTTGGCATTTGTTTCATTGCAAATGGAAAAATGGTGTTCCTGGGTCTGGACATCAAAGCAGGCAATTGTGATCAGTACAAGCCCTAGAAGAGATGGTTGTTTCTTGTTGTTGTTTGTGCTTGCAAAACCAAGTAGGAAAACATGATGGTTGGGTTCAGGCCAGCTCCCTCCTCTGAGTTCTCATTTCTACTTTTCTTCCTCTGCTTTTCCCCCCTTCCTCAGTTCCACTCTCCCCCTTGCGGAGTCGTCCTCAGCACCTCCTGGAAGAAGCTCGGGGGATGCGTGTCTCTACATGTGAGTGAGGCAGCTGGGGGTGGGGCAAGATGGGGGGTTACTTTCCTTTTCTCTGGAATTGCTGTACTCTGTTCATTTTTATGAGGAAATCATGCCATGTTCAGTCATTGCAATGTTTTCTGTGCTCTCCTCCTGCATTTCTTACCTGGCCCCAAATGTTTGTGGCAGGGTTTTTAATTTTGCTCCGTTGCTACAGAAACAACAGCATCAACAGCCTGGCAGTCAGAGAACCTTTAGGACAGTTCAGGGAAGCCTCTTCTTGAGAAATGGCCATGGCTCAGTGGCAGGACACCTGCCTTGCATGCAGAAGGTCCAGGGTTCAATCCCTGGCATCTCCAGGTAGAGCTGGGAGGGAACACCTGCCTGAAACCCTGCAGAGCATCATCCTTCCCCCACATGAGGGGCAGCTGCCAAAGAAGGTTGGTCATGACAGGCTTGCCAGGAAAGGGGCCCCACACAACCGCTAGCAGCATCCCTTCCCCATGCAATGTGTAGCTGCTGTTTGGGCTGCTGCACCTCATGTGGAAGGAGGTTACCGGCTGCACAAACTCTGCTCGGTTTGCTTTAGCTCTGTTTGGAAGATTGGGCTGAGCACAAGAGGAAGTCTGCAAATACGGGAAGCTGGACAGAGCACTGAGCTCTCACAGTTAGAAATTGACTCAACCACACAAAGATGTCAGCTTCTGACAGTCTGCCAGGCATAGCCCAAGCAAGGTATATCCTTAATAAGAGCTAGGAACTTGATTTTTTTTTTTTAATGAAGTTTCTCAGGATGCAAAATTTTGTGCATAATAGGAACACATTTTGCTGTTTTGCATGGGATTTGTTAGAAATCAATGATGTTGCTTCCTGATATCCTGATCCTGGGTGGTTTTTCTTTCAGGTTCAGAGCAATCTCTCAATACTCGGAGCCCAGTTGTGACCTGGGCATGCATCCAGCACTTGAGAATAATTGACAACCAGAAGGAACTTTTGCGGCTCTCACGGGACCTCGAGTCCTGATACTTGGGGAAGCTCAAGCAACAGACACCAGATGTGTGTGTCGTCCCACGTAGGCCAAGAACTGCTAGGAAGGACACCTCCTTATAGGGTAGCCCTGCCTTGTAGATGAGATAGTGGGGTGTCCCAAGCAGAGTTCTGTTGGTGGCACCCTGCATCCTGGAACCAGGAGCGTAAGGGCTGGCTCTGTCCGGGCCCAGGGAAGTATATGCCCACTGCTACCAATGGTGTTTTTGCACACTTCAGACTTTCTGACTGGAAAAGAAAAAGAAGGCTGCTGTACAGAATACTTTGGCTGCCTTATCGTGAAAGAGCAAAAGGCTCGCTTTTATTACTTATCAGTGTTCATTGGAAATGTGGATTTTTAAAAAAAGCATATGGCAAGACTTGCTTTGGTATCTCTGGTGGAACACCGTTTCCTCACTGGGATTTCCTTCTCCTGCTGTTGACTAGCATCATAGCTCAGGGGTGGAAAACATGCTAGACTGAGCTAGAAATTCTAGTTTCGGTTGGCCAGCAGATCCACTTATATGCCCTCTCCCTCTCCCCTCTCTGCCCCAACCTGGCCCTCCTCCAAGAGGTGGCTCCAGTGTTGCAACTGCCCATAGAACACAAATGGAGCAAAATTCATTTCCTCCACTAGAACTGATTTACCTAACCCTGTCTACATATTTGGTGTTCTGCAAACATGTTGGATTTTGTAAGTGGTATCCGTAGGCGAGTGCTTACCTTGAGAGATATGCTCAGGCTTCTCTGTCATGTCACCAAGGATGCTGGCATACTTTTTCTAGACTATGCCATATGATGCTGAAAGCAACAGTCAAAACTCAGAGGCATATGCTTTTTGTATTTTATTTTTATATTTATTACCATTATACCCCACCTTTTTTCCCTTTTGCAAGGAATCTAAGGTGGCTTACCTCTCCTTTTATCCTCACAGCATTCCTGAGAGCTGGGTTCAGATTATGGCCAGGGACTGGCCCTACTGAGCTTTACAGCTGACGGAGGACTAGAACCTGGGTCTCCTAAGACCATTAGTCCAACACTAACCACTCCACCATGCTGGCTCTCTGAATTGCATGCCACTGCTTACATGGACGCAGTTAGGTTAGCACTGTGGCCATGCCTATTTTTGATTCTTTTTCTCCTAATAGAACCATCCAGACAGGAGGAGCGGGGAGGAGAGGTTTGACCCCTGGCTGCTTCTCCACCAAAAAAGCAAGGTTTAGAGTAAGCTTTGGAGTTACACAAGCTCTTCATCAGGCAGAATGGAAGAGAGAACATGCCTCTGCTACACAGCATAAAATTAACTACGGGAGTCTTATTAGCTAGCAAAGAGCAAACCCTCCGTGACTGGATTCAGAGTGAGTCTGATATTTGCATACTTCCTTGAGGAAGTCTTGGAACATGATTATCTCTGGCCCAACAATTTTGCAGTACCAGCACACAGACATGCTGATGGTATAATGCAGCTGTGCATTGCCACGCTGCCCCATGGGAATTGTAGTTCAGTTTGGTGTCAGGAGCCCAGCTGAGGTTGGGGCAGAAACGGCTGCTTTGTCATTCATTACTGGTAACCACCTAGCACAAAATCTTGTATCTGCTGCTTGGTTAGGTCCTCAGATGACGCGGACTGGGCATGTCTTCCACTGGAGCAGCAGGCAGCCTACATCTGTGCCGACTGTGCATAGAATGTGGTTTAAAAGCTGGGGGAAATGGTGCTTAAACTGTAATAAAGTCAAACATTATCTGCCAAACAGCTTTGTATACTGCACCAGGAAATTACTGCGGGACCACTGCTAACTTCTATAATTTCATCTCAGTCATGTTTATATCAAGTCATCAGTAATGTTCAATTTGTACTTATTGAGGTGAGACTGAGGGAACTGGGTCTTTTTAGGCTGGAGAAGAGGAGAGTCTGGGGATCTGTTGGTGACATATCAGTACATGAGGGGGTGTTACACAAAGGTGGGTAGAGACCTGTTCTCCCCTGCAGAGGAAGGCAGGACGCGCTCCAACGGAGCAAAGCTCAGGGAGCCAAGGTTCAATTTGGATGCCAGGAAGTTCATCCTGATGGTTAGGACCCCTACAGCATGGAGTAGGCTTCCATGGGAGGTCGTTGAGGCCCCATCGATGAGGGTGTTCAAGGATAGGCTGGACATGCACATGGTAGGCATGTCATGAGTGGAGATGGCTGGAGCCGGGGATCAGACTAGATGGCCCAGGAGGCCCCTTCTGACTTGCTCTGTTTCTATTGCACTTATTTCACTTCTACAGCATCCAATAGTCAAAGCTCTTGGGAGAACACAGACATTACAAACCCAAAATGGAACATCAGAAAACCTTAAGTTAAATTATTTCACATGGAAAATGCAGTTTAAAAAAACTATTAGTGTGCTTCACTGCTTCCAGGAGAGAGAGGCACAACAGTTGCACTTTAATAGTGTTGTTCAGAATGTACTGCTGTATGTATAAGAAATGACAGTCATTTCTACCCACCAGACAAGTGGGTAAAATGCAATAATAATAACATCATGCTGAAAAGAAATTGTCTGGAAACCAGTATGCACTGCCCCATCCACAGCACAGATGTGACATTTCAGACTCATGTGTAAAAGCTTTGCAAAGCTGCTGAGCAAACCTAAGAACAGCGGGGCAGAAACTGAGGCCGAGGGGCCAAATCTGACCCTGCAGTTCCCCAGATGGCCACCTTTTCCCCAACCACTGATCATTTGGTGACTTCCTGGCTTTTGTGCAGTCTCCCCTCCCCTGCCCCCTTCTAAAATGTTGAAATGTCTCTCCCAGGGCATAATTACAGGCAGCAAGCCCTTGTGTTAGAAGTTAGTGGTATTTTAGGCCCATCTGCTTTGCTTATGGCCCAGTCCACCTCCCAAATACAGCCCATGAAGGGTTCTTTGAAGTGGAAATCAGGCCCTTGGCTGAAAGTTGTTCAAAACTCTTCAGATATTCAAGTGCTCATGTGGTAGGCATGTGCTCCCTTGGAGAAAGCTTTCACACACAGAAATGATACTTGGACTGCGGACCATATAGACAAGCTGGAGTGATTACATTAAGATGGCAGCAACTGGGTGAGTGTGTATGACACCCTGTTAAGCTGGCTGTGGGTCTTACTGCAAAGATGAAGTAACACCACCCCAATATGTGACTGAAGACAGTTTTGAAGGATCTGCTGCCTCTGTAAATAGCTGAAGCTTTCCCTTGGAAACTTGTTAAGCACAGGTGAATTCCAGCCTGATTGTTGGGTGCCTAACAGAGAAGGAGTTTTCACCCAAGAAAATTCCAAGAATTCCAAGCTCATTTGAAATTCTTCAAATTCCATCTCAAAGCTTGTTTCAACATGTGCCGCTATCAGATTGCGAGCTGTTTTTTCCCCCCATATGAAAATCCATGTGTGTTTGTGTGTAATAGTCCATATGCAAACACCAGTTGTGCACAAAGTTGAAATGCATGCACTGTTTCACTGATTAAAGAATGTTTATGTGCATTTTTCAAATGTGCACATTCATTATGCATATTTTTCAGAATTTACACGTTCTACTGAGTGCAAATTTGGGGGCTACAGATCGTATTGCTAGCTTGAAAATGTACAGGCTTCAGCTTCAGATTGCATTTGAATCTGCGTTCAATCCAGATGGTACCAAACCAGTTTAAATCCGGATCAAAAATGAAATTATACAAATTACTCATGCATCCCTCCTTTGGAGTGAGTGTTTTCCCTCTCAATGTTATGTCTTTTAAGACAGGGTTACTGCATCTGTGCAAACAGAAGGGGGGAAAAGCCTGGAAGGTTAGTGGAGGACTATGTACCCCTCTTTCTCACCAAGGCTGCTGCTTTGCATCCTGGGCTTTCTTGACTCTTGCTGTCTGCAGGAGAAGCAAGAGGTCTGCTCAGTGTCTCAACATGCTTGTCTCCACTCCTTCTAACAGGCACAATGAACTTCTGCCCTTTCCCCGAACTCAGAGATACAGTGGAGAACGGGAAATCACCCCTTCAGTCAAACTGCCAAAGAAACACACCATGGTGTGGCCAATCTTACCAAGAAGAGGGGAAACCGATTTGCATATCATTTGTGTACACTTGTTTACACATACAGAAGACAGACAGTACATATCCCCATGATGTAGTAGGCTGTGACCAGGTGACCTTGGAGCCTCCTCCTTTGGCTGGCTAACCAGGTAGTGCTGAAGAGTAACGCCTGGGCCCAGCTCTCCATTCTGACAGTTATACATCTTGCCCTGGACAATACAGGACAATCCCCCGGCATCTCCTCAAATGGAGGGGTGTGGAGTGGAGCCAGGAAGCACCGGCAGGGACAGTAACTTGAAGTTTAATGTGCCCATTCACAAAATAGTATTGGTGATCAAATGAGGTGTTTTAGAGCTAGGGAAGATTGGTAGTGAAGTACAGATGGATCTACCAGCTGTTTTGGCATCTGAACAGCATCCTCTTTTCCTCTTAGAACTTTCCCCTGTATGAGAGCTACTCCTGGGGCCACCTAAGTGGTAGCCCATGCCCTTCTGGGGTTTTATTTTATTTTACTTTATTGGAGTTTGTGCAGGGTCTGGGTCAAGATCAGGACCCCAGCATGGTTGGGAGTAAAGATTAGTGTCTTTATCTCTTCCCACCATCAATGTTGCTTTGACCTCCACTGGCCCTTCCAGCACCATTTCTCGTGTGAAATGATGATCCAATGACACATAGCAGGGGGAAAGGATAAGGCCCCCACTACTGACAATACTGGGGTCTCTGTCCCAAGTGGGATCCCTCTGCTTGCTCTAAAGTAATAATGAAAAAGAAATATGCCTTTGATGTTCATCTTGGCCCTCAGGAAGGTGTCAGGAGAACCTCCAGGGGAAACTAGACTTGGCTTTACAGTTCACATGGTCCAGCCTTCATTATTGTGACTTGGACGAAATCTTGAGAGGCAAAGATGACCAACCAGCAAAACAACTATATTTGTGTTGCTCTTTAGCAGAGCTTACTCCTGAGTTAAAGGGTGAAAAGGGGACTTTTTTTTCAATTTACATCCTGCCTTTTTCCTACAAAGGGCTCAAGGCAGCTTACATAATTCTTCTCCTCCATCTTATCCCCACAACAAGAACCCTGTGAGGTAGGTTGGGCTGAGAGTCTGTGACTGGCCCAAAGTCACCCAGTTGGCTCCATGGCTAAGAGGGGACTAGAACCCAGATCACCTGAGTCCCAGTCCCATGCTCTTCACCACTACGCCACACTGGCTCTCAGTCTATTTGGCAGTCCCTCCCTATTTGCCAACCCAGGAATACTGTGTGGCACAAAACTCAACTCTCTTTCTGGCCACCTAAATCATCGGACTGTACTGTCCATTTTCACTTGCTTGTTTTACTTCTGCCATTTTTTTAGCTCCTTAGCATCCAAGGGAAGGGAAGGGAGACACCCCATCTCTCCTCCCCCACCTCTCTCTCTGTCTCCCTCCCTCTCCCTCTCCCTCTCCCTCCTGCATGCTAATAACTCCCTCTTGCTTCTCTGAGGGAGTTGATTACAGTCCTGTTGGTACTTGGCACCTGAGTTTGTGGTTAGGAGGACCAAATAGACATACCCCACCTACTTCTGAATACTCCTTGCTGGGGTGGTAATCAACCTGGGCATGATTGGGGTGGGACTGTATGAACACAGAGCTAAAGTGGCAGGAAGAATGTGGGTGTGTTTCTCACCCACTGTCCATGCTGATAGGAAAAAATGCACAATCTTAAGACTGAGCAAAAAATGGGTTGAGTGTCGAATTAGGACTTGGATGATCTGGATTCTAGTCCTTACTTGGGTATGAAGCTCATTGGGTGACTTTAGGCCAACCACAGACTCTGAGCCCAACCTACCTCACAGGGCTGTTGTTGTGAAGATATGGAGAAAAGGGGGGAGAATCATGCAAGTTGCTTTGGGTTTCTTGCAGAAAAGAAAAAGGTAGGATAAAAATAGAAACAACAACAGAAAAGGCACACCCCTTGCCCCCAGTGCCTGCAGCTGATAAAGGCCACAGTATGTAAGGCTTTGCAAACTTCTAGAGTTTGGCTTGGAAACTGCACTCAGTTTGTTCTGCATCACAGAAACTTGTTTGGGAAAGCGTCCAAGGCTGTGACCTTTTGGCTCTGTGCCTGGTTTCTTTTCCTCTCCTTTCTGAAGCTCTTCCCATTGTGAGAAAAGCTTGCCTCTGCTTTTTGTTTTTGTGCTTGGAATGGAATCTCTCAGCCACAGAAACTTGTGGAGGGGTTCCAAGGAGGAAATAGCCAGCCAGAGCACCCTCCCTGCGTGGCCACTCCCTCCAAGCACAATACGCGTTGGCATTCCTCCAAAAAGGAGAGCCTGGCCCACCCTGCCAGAAGGACCGAGGCAGTCTTCGGCAGGCATGGCTTTCTCCATGGACGACCCTGTGGAGAAGCTCCAGGATGAGGTCTCCTGTTCCATCTGCCTGGAGTACCTCCGGGCCCCCGTCACCATCGACTGTGGCCACAACTTCTGCCATGCCTGCATCTCCGATCACTGCAAGCAGGGAGTGGCAACTGGGGCGGCCCTTTGCCCGCAGTGCAGGGCTGGCTTCCTGCTAAGCAACTGCCGGCCCAACAAGCAGCTGGCCAACATTGTGGAGGGCATTGAGCGGCTGGCTCTGCGGCCAAGCCGAGCCCCGGGTGAGGCCTTGTGCGAGAGGCATGGCAAGAAGCTGCGCCTTTTCTGCCAGGATGATGGCGAGCCCATTTGCCTGGTATGTGACAAATCCCGGGAGCATCGGGCACACACAGTCCTGCCCATTGAGGAAGCGGCTCACGACTACAAGGTAAGGAGGAGTCGGGGTCTGGATTCCTAATGGGAGTGCAGCTAATTCGGAGTGACAATGAGCAGTAACCTTGGTTTGCTCAAGCGCCTGATGCGCACCATTCAGAGACAATGTGTGCTAGCAAAGGAGACCCATGCGGAGCCAGTGGAGCAGCAGATGCAGTGGAGGGGGGCAGTGGACACCCCGAAATGGCCTGGCAAGTCACATGTGGCCCATTAGCCCTGCCTTTGGCACCCCTAACATCTATGTTGGGAAGGGGTTCTGATCTGAGCATCAGAACAGAAACTCAGGTTTAAAAAAAGCAATTACCTCTCCATGGTGCATCACGCCAGGCCCTTTCCTCCCAGCCTCACTCACTTTTACCAGCAGAGCCAAACTGGGAGAAATGGTCCCCAAGAGACAGATTTAGGGGGAAGTCCTTTCACCCCATTGCTTCTGTAAAAAAAATCATGTAATGATCCCTGTGACTTGCTTGCATTTAAAAAGCCTAGGCAATATACAAAAATGCAGTACAAGATCATAATTAAATACTGCATAATATGAATGCAGATAGAATACCAGTTTACCATCTAGGAATCCTTATTGAGCACATCTGCAGTGAAAACCTGAAAAGATGGGTGCTTATCCAACATTAGAGCACTCCAGGGAGTGGGTGCTACAAAACTAAAGATGCTATTCTGAACTATCACGGACAAGACCTCTAAAATCTTGGGCATCTCTCATTGTGTGTCTCCTGTTGAGTGCAGCAGCCCAAAGTAGCCCCAGTCCAGACATTCCATGAATGGAACAAGCCTTGAAATAATGAAGGTAGCTGCTGCTTTCACATTCTCACCAGCCCTTGAAGAGGCGTCTTCCTCCCAAGAATTGCTGCTCCTCTCAAAACAATGCGTGGCTCTTTTTGCTTCCCTTGAAATGCCAGAAGGTAGCAATCTACCATCAACTGTATGCCAGGAATGAGCTGCCCAAGGCCCACAGCATTTCTTTGTTTACAATTCCACATGCCCTGACCATTGGCTGGGGCTGATAGATGATGTAGTCCAAAGCACTGGGAGGGCAATGCACCAGGTCACCTACATCTGCTTTAGGCAAAATGTGAAGATGTCCCAGGGAAACCCAGGATACCGCCGAGAAATTTTGCTCACTTTACAAATAATAATGATCATAAATAATTGTTTGCCTTAAAAAATTAAAGCATGATCTTAGAAGAGCTTAGGTGGGTTTCCTTGTTGCCTCTAGGCACTCCCCTCTGCTTAGTTTCAAAATAGCTACATAATTATATTCTTGGAGAATGTTGTGGATTTGCTTATCTCAGCTCAAAGAACTTCTTGCCTGCTTCAGATGCAATGATCAGAAGTGGGATAAGTAATGCCCAACCTCACAGACTTCCATTCCCTAAGACAGACTGCAGTTGGCACATTTTGTAAAATGAATAAATTAATAAACCAAGGATATTTGTGCAAATCATGTGATTGGCACAATTTGGATGAATGTATGCAATTTGCGCAAATAGCACTATTTGCATAAAGGGAAGCTGGCCTGACAACCATGGCTCGAGGCAGGCAGGACTACTATTCAGAAGGGTTCAGTGCATAAGGATGCCACCTTCCATGCCTCCCTCTTCTCAGTTTCTGCTTCTGAATGGGTGTGATGTCCCAGCTCAGCCTGCTAGGAGATAAAATGCTTTTCCTTGGCTGCATGGCACTGTGGAGAAGAGACCCCTTTTCTTGCTGCCTGCCCTTCCCACCCTCAGCGATTTGGATGGAGCTTCTCACTCCAAACATGGTACTCCTTGAGGGAGGGTTTTAGGATGTGCACTGGGTCATGTTACAGGTTGGGATGAAGCTTCTCACCCCAAAGAAGTGATCATCCCCAGAGCATGGGGACAGCATACCAAATAGGGTCATTTATTTCACTTCAATGGTGCTTCACAGCTGAAGCTTTCTGGGTGGTTTACCATAATCCACAGTGCTGAGTGATGTTGAACAGCACCGAGTTGTGTTGGTGGGGTCAGAATGCAGCCCCTCATCTCAAGCAGTTCATACTTCCAGAGAGAGGCACAAGATTGATACTCTTACGGAGATGGGACATTCCACGGATGCATCTTCTTTGACTCAAGAAGAGGAAGTAGGTCGTGGTGTGAGCATTCTGAAGACCACACTGGAGCTTTCCTGATACCAGTTTGCGCTGGAGATGTATCTCTTGAGACTATGCCTCCATGAGAGCACTCCCAGAGGAGACCACATCCACCATGGAAGGACACTGATCCTAGATGCACTCCTCGCCACATGCATACACACAGTAGGGTGTTGGACTCAATGGCCTTCATGGCCCCTTCCAACTCTACTAATCTATGATTCTAAGAACCCCACTCAAACTTGTGTACTTTCTCTGTAGATCAAGCTCCAGGAAGCTGTGCAATTTCTCAGGAATGTGCTGGAGGAAGCCACAAAACTGGAGGCTCAGGAGGAGATGAAAACCACTCAGTGGAAGGTATGTGCTGTTATGCATGTCATTGCAAGGATAAATAATTGCTACTAGCCCAGTCTTCCTTCAGCTTGAGGCCTTTCCAGTTCTATGGACTTCAACTCCCATTAGCCCTAGCCAGCATGACCAATGGGGAGAAGCCCTAGGAATTGCTATTCCAAGAATTTTCAGGGCATTAGAGAACAACATGGTGCACTCCACACATCAATCCTCAAGGAAGCTAGCTACATGGGAGCAATATGGAAGATCCTAGGCTCTGTCCTTGGCATCTCCAGGTAGCAGTGGGAGAGACCATTCAGATGAGTATAAGGAGCTAGAAGACTCAGTGGTCTGACGTGGGGGCAACTTCATAGCCCCCTCCTTGCCTCCCTCATGGTCTCTGCTACGTTCCTGTGACTAGTTTGGGCCAGTGCAGGGATGGCTGTGGGGTTCCAGGCTGACACAGAGCTGCCCGCTGTTCTGTTTTCTTACTGACTCCATTCGTGTACCTTTTAAAACCAGCAATCCGACATCCCCCAGAAATAAACAGGGGAAGCTTTCCCAGCTGTGGGGATGAGCAGTGGAGATAGTCCCTCATGCTAAATGGCTGTGCTCCATGCTCAGGAGAGGGTGGAAAAAATATACTTCTGCATTTTTTAAAACCAAGTTATTATATTGGCAATCCCCAAGACTTCCTGAGCTGAAACAAGAGTTATGTAACCAGAAATATCCCCCGCCGCCCCCTCCCCGCCACACACACTTTTGCAAGCTTCCTTCTCAGGGAATGTGCACAACGTGCTTAGTTATGGAATTATGTGTTATGTGCTGTATTTCAAGAATGTAAAGTGCCCAGGGAAATGAGGACATTAACAATGTGTACAAAAACAGGGTTTAACAGGGTCTTTTAATGCATAATTTTGTTTTCCTGTTTTTATTTGGTCTTAATTTTTGTATTGCTAACTTATATGATATTTAATATGTTTTAGTTGGTATACTTTATATCGTTTCTAAGCATGCTGCTGTGAACTGCCCAGAGAGCTTTGGCCATTGGGCAGTATAGAATATAAATAATAAATAAATCGATAAATAGATGGAGCTCTCTGGGTTGTATACAATACATTTTTTAAAATACAGTATGAATATTAAAGCAAACAAAAAACCCAAACAAACAAGAATAAAACCAACAAAGAATGAAACCAAGATAAAACTAGCAGCTAAGAATAAAACCAGTACACCTTCATAAAAGTTGTACTCCTATGGTTTTCAAAGAGCATCCCAAGGATCATAGGATTTTTTAAAAGAAAAAAAAAAGGATGAGCTTCTAACTCTAGACACTGCTTTGACTTTGGGGACTGCCAAAACTGATATTGCCCCCCTCTCCCCGTCTTGAGCTGCTGCAGAAACAAGAGGGCACCTGATCTCTGAGGTCACAAAGACGGCCTCAGATGAGCTCAAAGCAATGAGAAAGGCAGCATTGAAGGGGAAGGGGAAAGGGAAAGGAGAGACCAAGTTAGAAGAAATCCTAGGGCTTCTCCAGCAGCACACCTCCTGTAGATAGATTCAGAGGCTCATCAAGAGGTAAGAGAAAGAAAGGAAGACAGGGAATGAAAATCACCTCTTCTTGTTCCATCTGCCACTACTGGCAGCAGACTGGAAAGGCACTGGATGCTTGGAAGCCTCCAAGTTCAGAGGCTTCATTCTCGTGGGACCAGGGTGACAGAGCATCCTAAAAGATTAGAGAAAAGGTCCACAAAAATATACAGATTTTAACATGGACTGTGAAATGATGAATGAATCACTGACTTCTGTGGAACCAAGATGAGATGAACCTGACTGGGTTCATGATGCTATTTTAGCAATGGGAGGACCAAGGGTGCCAAAGGGCTGATGGATGAGTGCGCCACTCAGGAGTTCCTCATACTCGCTTGCATAATGGGCACACGCATCATTTTTCATATGTCCGCTTGCCTCTTGCACTCCTCCTCTCCGGTAAGTGCTTTGCACAATCTGGAATGTGGCTGAACAATCAGGAAGTGAGTCTACCCAGATGGCTGGGGAAAACCCACCCTTGCCCCATCTGAGGGTTGTGCTATCCTGATTCGCAGGCATGGAGTAAGTTGGCCCCACAGCCTTTGTGAGATGGGATCCTACATGTGTAAGGAGCTGATGGTGCTGACTTGAAATTGCAGGAAAGAGCTACTCTGCACTTTCTCAGAGGCACTGTGTCCACATGCTTGGGTCATGTATTTGTTCCTCCTTCCTAATCACCTTCAGCTAGACAAGGAGCTACTGCTAGGGGAGCGGGGTGGACTGCTTTTAATGGGCTTGGTGGTTTCTCACTCACTGCAGAATGTGGGTGTGCGAGTGCCAGCGGAAGAGGGTGTTTGGCAGGCCTGTTCTGAACAAAGCTGTTTACATTAAAAAGCAACACATAAAACCACCACTGCGTTATTACTGCCGAAGGATCAGAGGCAGGAAATCCCCTGGCCTTGCAAGACAGGGCAGAGATATGGGGCTTGCAAGGGCAAGTTTATGGTTGTTGTTCTTTGTTAATGGGCCTCTGACACCAGTTGCTGTATATTTAACAGTAGCTTGATATTTTGGCCACTAGCGGGTTTATTTCCATGCCACAGAGAGCTCAGTTTCTGTGGTCCCAGCAGCTATGAATCCAGGCATTCTTTCTAGCTACTATCCATTCATTTCTATGGATGCAAACCCTTGACCTCACCCCTCCCCCACTGCACTGGTTTAACACAAGCCATGTGGTACAGATATTATTTGGAGCCCTTGTGTCTACTGAGATGTATGATGAAACTCCAGAGAGAGCTGGGGAAATGTTTTCCAGAGCATGCTTTTGTCCGTCTCTTGCAGTAAAATCCCAGAGTCTTGCAACATCGTAAAGGCATCCTTCCAAGTGTCCTTCAGATGTTCTTAATGCCATTTCCCATCAGTCTCAGCCATCCAGCAATGGCCAGGAAACTTGGGACTCGTAGCCCAAAACATCTGGAGGGCACCAGGCTGGGAAGGGCTTCCTGGCCAATTTATCAAGACATAAGTTTTGTTGAACGCTCACTTTGTCTGACTCTTGCAGAGTAACTACATGTGGTGGCACAGTAATGGGAGCTGAGAATCATCAGCATTGAGGCCAAAGGGATGCAGAGTGCAGAAAGTACAGGCAGGGACAGTGACTTGAAGTTTAACCTGCCCAATCACGAAACAGCTGGCGATTGCAGCAGCTGCTTTAGACTCAGGACTGATTGGTAGTGGGGTAGAAATGGATGATGGCCTGGTGTAATTTCTCAGCGACTTCCTGCCTGTGGGTGCTTCCCTGGTTATTCTTGGTGAGTCTTAGGCAAAGGAGAGGCTGTTGGGGGCCAAAGTCGAGAAAGGATTATTCTAGGTAGTGCATGAGTGTGAGGAGAACTCATCCCACATTTTAAAGGGCCAAGGATTTCCCCATCTCATGGACGTGTGGGATGTGTTTGGAATCTGGCTGCTTTTGCAGATGAGTACTATTATAAGAAATGTTTGGTTGAGGGTTGGTTAACTTCTCTTTGCAGACAAAGGAGCTGAAGCTTTTTCTTCTAACTTTAGTGATGCACTCTGGCTGCAACCAGTGGTCAGCATGACCTTTGAAAAACAAAAAGAGAAAAGCTAGAACCCCCCCCCCCACAAACATGCATGCATACTTTTCTTGACAGCACATCTGTGTATAGTAAGATAAATTAATCTTCTCACCAAAATTTCCACAAATTTTTTCTGCTCCATCCAAATATTCAGGGAACAGTTCTGTGCACAGTCTCACTATGTGATCAACTGTTTGATGGATCTTATAAATCTACATACGATCTTATAATATGCGTATTAATTGATTGTTTTAATTCTTCTACATAGGGCTGGGGCTGTCACATTATGCTGTGAGCACTTCCCTTGTTGCTGGCCAGTCTGTCCGCTGGTCCTGATTTTTTAATTCCATTTCTTCAGTCTTCTTTTTTGCTAATTTGAACCTGGAAGGACAGCATACTCCAGAGTTGAAAACCTTTGTGTTTTGCAGCTCAGATTCCACCTCTGGCTTGGACTTAAGCTCATGGGCAAGTTCCTTTTCTTTTCATCTCACCAGGTTTGTCTTCTGGGAAATGAGTGTTCTGTAACAGGCTGTGCCAATCATGGCAGCCATTTTGTGAGGGCACCCACCACAACACTCTCTCAAATGTCAACATCTGTCCACTGACCAAGAAAGGTCAGGGAACCCTTGAGCAGGTCGCTTTGAAGAAATAACCAAACGATCACACTCAGGGAAGGTTTGCCTTGAACATACTGATACATCGTTCTATCTGTTGATGATCCCGGTAGGAGAAAGTAGAGGAACGGCGAATGCTCATTGCATATGGGTTCGAAAGACGTCGCCGGGCGCTGGACGAAGAGGAGCAGCTGCTTCTGAGGCAGCTTCAGGATGAAGAGCAGGCTGTGCTGAAACAGTTGCAGATGAACTTGGCCTTCATGCTTGGGCAGCGTACGGGACTGAACGAGCTGATCTCTGAGATGGAGGACAAATGTCAGCAGCCAGCCGCCTCCTTGCTTAAGGTGGGACTCTCTGAGACAGCTAGCTGGAAAGTCCTCTGGGCCTGCCAGAGCTGTCTAACCCTACCTCCAAGGAGAACACTCCTAGCCATTGTACCTTGCAACAGCCTTGTGGAATAGCTTAAACTGACCGAGATGGTTGTGTTGAGATTGAAACCTGTACCTCCTCAAACCTGATTCTCATGTTCTAACTGCTGCACTGTACTCTCAGTTGTGCCAAAGATGGGGTTTTGGTATATTAATTTATTCATTGGGGGTTTTTTATCCTGTCAAATTAGCCAATAAGGCTTCCTGAGTGGGTGCATATGGAGCCTGTCATGCCAATAGAAGAATACCAGGATGCAAAGTAAATAATAGGCCAAAGAAAGCAGAACTGCCTCTTGATTTGGGTTCTTTACATAGGCGGACACAGCACTTATACTTGGGCAATGCTTTAAAAGCATGGCATTACAAAACACCAGGTGACTCACATTGTTTTTGTTTGCTCCCTCTAGGATGTGAAAAAAACCTTGACCAGGTCAGTAGATTACTAAATCTTGACTGCAATCCAAGCCTATGAAAGTTTATTTAGAAATACATTAACGTGTGTTCATTAGCACTTATGCCCAAGAACATGTACAGAGGATACAGCTTCTGGTGCAATTTTCTTCCAGCTAGCCAGCCAGCCAGCCAGCCAGCCATGCCTAAAGCCGTAGCACCTTTTTGTATTGAAGCATGCGGAAGATTGCACCTTAAGTTTCTTTGGCTTTTCTTGGCTTCCGGCTTCTGTAGGATAACTGGTGCCATGTTGTCCATAGGACTGAGGGGGTGTCGCTGCAGGAACCACAGCCCATCTCAATGGATCTGCATGACTCGTACAACGTTCCTGGGCTGATGGACTTACTCCAAAGATATCGAAGTAAGTGAGAAACAATATAGCATAAAGAATGGATGAATTTGCTTTCTCTTGCATTTTACTTATTTTTAAGTATGTTTTTTCTGTCTCACATATGACGATATTGATGAATTATGGTAAGTTTTTAGCAACAACAAAGGCCCATGTTGTGCCTGCTCCCCTATAGCAATAACAGATGAGGAGCCCCTAAGAAAAAGAAAAAGGTGGCAATCCAAATTTAGCATCTCAGAGGTGGTTTGGATACATAAGGAGGCACACAAGGGCTTTTTAAAGAGCTGAGAGTGTAAAGCTCTTGCCTGGGTGGATGAATCTAACCAATTTATTATTCCCCACGATCAGTGCCTCCCCACCAAGTCCTTTCCATTCCAGATATGAAGACCTTTGTGAATTTTGGCAAATTCTAAGTAAAGATGAGCTGGAACAAAATTCTTCCCTACCCTTGTGCAAATGTACACTAGGCATATGAACACTCCAAGCACTGTGGCAAAAGCATCTCCATCTGTCTGTCCATCTGTCCATCCATCCTTCCTTCTTTAATTTCTGTACTGCCCAGTGGCCAAAGTTCTGGGGTGGATGGAATGCAAATGCAAAAGCTTTTGTTCCAGCCTGTAGCCAATGTTTGCAGACAGTTTCCTTTCGGAACAAAACTTGGGTAGCTTTGATCCTTCTAGCAATGAAAAGAACTGCAGGCAACTGAGGCTGAGGGTGTTCAGCTGAAAACGGTGACCAAACTTATGTTAATGCAGCTGGTTCTGGACATCAACTGATCAGTTGCCTGGGTCACATGGACTTCCTGCACATCAGCTGCTCACTTGGCTGTAGGGATGAGGAGAAATTCATTTTGTTCCTCTCTAAATGTGTATTCACCCACTTTTCAATTTTCAAACCATACTGTTAACCAAAGTTCAGGTTTTCTTCAAACTTCACACTTTTACAAAATTTTCCAATTAAAAATGTGAATCGCACACACTGTAGAATGCTCTGCCCAAATTGGCATTATCACCAAAAAATGTGCCTGCCAGGAAAAAATTCATATGAAGGTTCATAAGTTGGGAGGAATATGCACCAAAAATGCTTTTGAATGTTAAATGCTCAAGTTCAAAAACAGAACCCAATGCTGAAGAAATTCTCGAGTTCAAGATGAACCAAACTCAAGATTGGACGGTTGAAAGACTGATAGAAATCAAGATTGGCAAATGTGTCCATCTCTATCTATCTATCTATCTATCTATCTGGAGCATTTGTATGCCGTCCCATCACATAGTCTCGGGATGGCTTACATAAATAAAATAAAACATAATACAGATAAAATCCAAATCCACCCTGGCTGCATATTAAAACCTATAAAGTGATATTAAAAGTTATTAAAATATTGTTGAAATAAAAAGGTCTTAGCCTGGTGCCGAAAAACAAATAACGGCGGTGCCAGGCGGACCTCTCTGGGGAGCGCATTCCATAGGCAGGGTGCCACTGCAGAGAAAACCCTCCTCTGGGTACTTTGCCTCCTAATGTCTCTCATGGAGGGCTCCCGGAGGAGGGCCTCTGCTGCTGATCTCAGGGGGCGGGAGGGCAAATATGGAACTCTACTTGAATGGATCATGCCATAACAGGGATTAATGGCTCTAGACACTCTTTTTTGGTTCATTAAAGAACCCCATAAAAGCCTTGATCACACACAATCTTGTTACCTTGTATCAAGCTGAATGAGATACGTTTCTTGGCCTCATCTAGCAGACTAAGTCAGATTGCTGTCTGTGTTAAAATGACCCCAGCTACTTTCTGGAGGCACATTTTCCCAGGAGGTCAGGCCCAGGAGCTATTTCTGCATTGGAGTGGTATGTGAAACTGACTCTTTTAAGCATGGCTACTTCTTTATAAAGAGCTAAGGAGCATGTAGCAATAGATCAGTCCAGAAAGTGGCTCCCCCTCCCCTGGATTTTATATGTTGAGTATTGGAATGTCACTTTCATGAAGATGTTTGCCCACTTTGTTTCCCTGTATGATTAGCTAGGCAGGCAGGATTCGATGGCGTGCTTTGATGAAAACAAAATGAAGGCAGAAGGCACCGCTTCTGCTGACTTGGGATCAGCAAGATGAGTGGTGATGCAGTGGCACCCGGAACTGGTGGCTGGCAGGTGGGCTGGATGCAGTGCGGTGGTGTGGTTTTTACCTCCTGATTGCTTTCTTCATTCCATGCTGGGAGCCAACTACAAACTGCCAGCACCAGCCACAGAAAGCTTTGGAAGTGCTTGTGGTTCAGTGGCAGAGCCCTGGCTTTGCATGCCGTTCTTAAGAGCACCCAGTCAAAAGAAGCATTGGTTAAGATTGGATGGGCAGCACCCCTGCCTGAGACCTTAGAGTTCCCTCCTCCAATGTGGTGCACTCCAACTGTTTTAAACTACAACTCCCAGCATTCTTTTTTCATTGAATTCTCATCATTTCATGCTGATTGGATGAGATGAGCATTGAGGTCCAAAACTGAAGTTCAAGTAGGGATGTAAGAAGCTTGCACAATCTGTTCCATTTCTGTTTTGTGGATGGTCAGATGTTACCCACTCTGTTGTCCAGTCTTTGATGGATGTAGATTCTTACTCTCCCTCCAGAAAAATAGGCATTAAAAAAATCCACCAAGATTTATGGAAATTTTGCTGGAGCATAACATTTTGTGTGCTTTTCTTAGGTCACCAGAAAATCAATGAGCAGAGCACAGAAAATAAAGTTTGTTACATGTATAATATGTATTTGCATTTTTTAAAATGGTATATACATTACCACACAATAATGTATGTACGTTATACACAATGGTATATACATTACCAAGCAACTTCCATAGTTTTGTATGACTAAAGCTGTGTACAATTACAGAAAGTTTAAACAATGGTTTGCAAAGTCACAGAAACTGGGTGACTCAGAAAAGGGACATCTTTGGTTTCTGACGGATAAATTTATAGAAATCTGACTTGATTGCTTGATTATATTAATATCCCACCTTTCTCCTACTATGGAACTCAAGGTGATTCCATGCAGTTCCCAGGTGATCCAAGCTCAGGCCAGCCTCAGACCTGCTTAGCTTCAACATGGTGTATGCCTTATGAGCTCTCAGTCCACACTAATGTTGATCATTTGCAAATTTCTCCAACCCCCTTCATAGCAGGTCTGAGACAGACTCTACCACCAAGGCAAAACTGAAGTAGCATCATGATCACCACCACCCTCTGTGAGGAAACCAAGGCAGCTTACAAATCTCCATTTGATCCTCATAGTAACATAGAAACAGAGTGAGTCAGAAGGGGCCTTCTGGGCCATCTAGTCTGACCTCCGGCACCAGCCGGCTCCGCTCACGACATGCCCACCATGTGCATGTCCAGCCTATCCTTCAACACCCTCACCAATGGGGCCTCAACGACCTCTCATGGAAGCCCATTCCACACCCTCGGGGTCCTGACTGTCAGGAAGTGCTTCCGGGCATCCAAATGGAACCTTGGCTCCCTGAGCTTTGCTCTGTTCGAGCGCATTCTGCCTTCCTCTGCAGGGGAGAACAGGTCTCTACCCACCTCCATGTGACATCCCCTCACATGTCTGTATGTCACCAACAGATCACCCCTGAGTCTCCTCCAGGCTGAAGAGACCCAGTTCCCTCAGTCTCACCTGATCCCCCATCCCCTGCAAACCGGCCGCCAACCTTGTGGCCCTACGCTGCACTGACTCTAACCTGGCTATATCCTTTCTGTAATGAGGGGCCCAAAACTGAGCACAGTACTCCAGTTGTGGGTGCACCAGAGTCATATAGAGTGGTAGTAATACCTCTCTTGATCTAGAAGCCACACTTCTGGCTATGCAACCAAGGGTGGCGTTCGCCCTCTTGACCACCGCATCACACTGCTGACTCATGTTTAGCCTGCAGTCAACCAGTACCCCGAGGTCCCTTTCACAAGTGCTGCTCTCCAGCCACTTGTCACCTAACCTGTACTTATGCCAGCTATTCCTATGCCCCAAGTGCAAGACCTTGCACTTATCCACATTGAACACCATCCTGTTGTCTCCTGCCCACTTCCATAGTCTGTCCAGATCCTTTTGGATCTGAAGTACCTGCTCCTCAGTTGTGGCCACTGCTCCAGTTTTAGTGTCGTCTGTGAATTTGATCAGCAGACTGTTCACCCCTTCTTCCATGTCATTAATGAAAAGATTAAACAGGATCGACCCTAGGACAGAGCCCTGGGGGACCCCACTTGTCACTGGCTGCCATCCCGATGATTCCCCACTAATGGTTACCTTCTGCTTTCAGTCAGCCAACCATCCCCTAATCCACTGAACAGTGCTTTGGTGTATCCCAAAACTCCTCAGTTTCTCCACCAGGATATCATGGGGCACTTTGTCAAAGGCCTTGCTGAAATCCAGGTATACCACATCCACTGCATCCCCTCCATCTAGCCATTGCAAAACCTTGTCATAGAATTCCACAAGGTTTGTCCGGCAGGACCTGTTTTTGCGGAAGCCGTGTTGTGTGGCTGTCAGCCTCCCTTCCCTATCTAGCATCACTAGATCTCTCTCTATTATGAGCCTTTTCATTGTTTTTCCTACAATGGACATAAGGCTAACTGGTCTATAATTCCCCATGTCCTTTCTACTACCCTTTTTGAATATTGGGACCACTGATGCCACCCTCCAGTCCTCTGGAACTTCACCCGTTCTCCATGAGACGTCAAAAATGGAGGCCAGTGGGCATGAGAGAACCCCTGCCAACTCTCTATGTACTCTCGGGTGTAACCCGTAATGTCCAATGACCTGAGGAGCCCCTTGACTGCAAGGGGGGTGTCTCTAATCTGTGCCCCTAAGTCCCCAGCCTCATCTAATCTCTTATGCAGATATCCCTCTCATAGCAATTACCCTGTGAGGTAGGCTGGGTGAGAATCTGTGATTGACCCAAAGTCACCCAGCGAACTTCCTGGCTGAGCGGGGACTAGAACCTGGATCTCCTGCTCCAACCCTCTTACCAGCACACCACACTACACCACACCAGCTTTCAAATGGTCAAGTTGTCATACTGTGGGGCAAGGGAGCTTTCTCCACTTATATTTTCAGTACGAGTGCAGTGATGTGAGAGCTGGACTGATGGTGCCCGTTTCCCCCTGCAGCCCCTGTGACCTTTGATCCCGACACCGCCAATCCCTACCTGCTCCTGTCAGAGGATCTGCTTAGAGTCCAGGTGGGAGATCGAAAGCAGGATCTGCCCAAGAGCCTGTCCCGCTTCGAGACATGCACTTGCCTAATGGGCCGTGAGCAGTTCACATCTGGGAGGCACTACTGGGAAGTCTGTGTGGAGAGCAAGACCAGCTGGACTCTCGGGGTTTGCCAGGAAACAGTGAGCCGCCAAGGGATCTTCACACCCTCGCCTGCGATGGGGTTCTGGACGGTGTGGTTGAGGAATGGAGATGAGTATGCCGCCCTCACTTCCCCTCTCACAGAACTGGTGCTGAAAGAGAAACCTGGGGTGGTTGGCATCTTCCTGGACTACGACTCCGGGGAGGTCTCCTTCTATAATGCCGACAATGGGTCTCAAATCTTCACCTTTGCCAACTCCTTCTCGGGAGTCCTCCGGCCTTACTTCTACCCTGGAGTCCAGGCCGGGGGCAATGATGCTCCACTCATCATCCTACCAGCTGGATGCCAGGAAAATCTTTCCCTTTCCACCTTTTCCACCAGTGATGCATACAGTTCACATTACTAATTATGGGACTCACTGGGAGTGGATAGAGACAGAAGTTTCAGACACCGAAGGATTACTCACAGCCTACAGCAAGGAAAAGAAGAGAAGGCTGCATCCTGTAATGTGTCTGAGATCCAGCTTAGTGCCCAATTTATGCCCGCTTGGATGTTGTTCCAGAATTAGTTCCTGTTCTTGGAGCAATTGCCTTCCTTAAACGGTGTGGCTTGGCTCACTTGCTTGGGTTCCCAGGTGCTCTTTATCCTGTGAGCTCCCTTCTGCAGCACAATTAAATGCTTTTCTCTACTTGGGCATATAGTCCAGAGCGATCTGCAGTTTGCAGCTGATCTCTTTCAGTCTGGTCAATGGAAGGCCATGTCTTGTGGCATGGGATGGCTATTTGGTGCTTTCTAAATGAATATCTGATCATGAAGGAGAGACATCTAGTGTCTAAAAACTCCCATCCTCAGCCAGCTCTTCCTACAAGATGCTCACATGTGGGTCCCTATTCCATTTTATATCCTTCAAATAGGCCCTGTCCTATACCTGGGCCCTAGTGATCCAGTTTGCCCAGGGGTGGGTGGGTGGTTGCGTGGGAAGTTCTTCCTTCATCCTATTCTTTTATCTTCTTGTTGGATCATTTTTATAAAGTCCAGAAAGTTCAGGGCTGAATCTCCCTTAAGCATTTTTCCAGCATGGGAATGTCTGACTCACTGGTTTGCCCCATGACTTTAACCCCAATCTATCCTCTGCATACTCTTTTAGTCATTATATCCCCCCGGTTTATGTATCAGTCTGCTCTAAACTTGCTCTTCTGCTCTGGGGCAGGGGGACTGGATTCAGTGGGCTGGTATGGGGAGAGCACATGCCCTCCCAAAGCTTCCAGCAGCAGCTCTGAGAAGGAGATCTTTTCGCTGCTTTCCTGGCTCCCTCTTCCTCTCCTCCATGGCTTTTCTCTGTCTCTAACTTGTCCAGTGCACTGGAGGGTAAATGTAGTACTGCTCCCCTTGTCATACCACCCCATTGAAAAAAAAAGGAATGTCTCCTTTGTCCACTACCTCATGGACCAACTAGCTGAAAATGAGCCAGAAGGCATGTCTATGCAGAAGTAAAATATTAATTTTCACTGGCTTTACTCAGAAATAATCCCCACTGATTTCAACGGTGCCTACTGTTGGGAAGTCAGCATGGCTGAGGGACTGCCTTTGCTTTCAGGAATTGCTTTTGGGTGGGTGGAAATGTGGGTACTCATCCTGCTGACTTCCCTTTGTGCAAAGTGGGAAGATGGCCATAAGCACTACCACAGCCTCCTCCGGTGCCCCCTTCCTCTTCCCTATGATTTTAGTGAAGGGACAGAAGGAGCTGTCAGCATGTTCTTCCTTTCTGAAATGGTCTCTATTCCTTCATGCCTTTGCACTTCTCCTGTGATTGCGTGTGTGTGTGACACAAGATCAAGCTTTCAATACAGTGCAAACGGTGCTGTATTTATTAGCAGTTTTCCCAGCAGCAGTAAATGTATTTTGCATAGAGCTTCCTGATCAATGGAAGGGTTTCTTGTATAGATCTGCCCCATGTCTATTATCAGTAGTTATGTTGACCAGAAAGAACCAGCAGTTCCTGGGAGAAAATCCTGTTGCCATTATGGTTGACTTACAAACTTCCTGGAAGAAGCATTTGGTTAGCTGCTGTGACTTGGCTCATGGGATTGGCTGGCTACAGTGGGAGCAAACGGCAGAAAAAAGCAGCCACTTCCCGGGTGCATGACTTGCTTCCAAACAATGGATGTGCTCCCAGCTGCACCTCATTTTCAAGTGCACTGAGTGGCAGCAGGATGGGATGCTAGCCCACTCTGGGGGGGGGGGGGCAAGGGCACTTCCCAACAGCCAGAAGTTGCCACTGATGTACCACACCTGCTGGTAGGAGACACACCTGAATCTGCAGGAAGAGATAATAAACAGGTTCTAGAATAGAAATGTTTTCTATTCTGATTTTTTCTTATAGCACCTCACGTAACATCCCTAAGTATGGGTACTTTTGGATTTGGGTTATTTGAAATTGCATGCTTGTGTCAAAGTGTGTGTGTGTGTGTGTGTGTGTGTGTGTGTGTGTGTGTGTGTAAGTAGCCTTAAGTACAAGGCTGTAACTTTAACTGCTTGCCTGGTCATTATAGGTGACTGGCTTAATGGAATTCTATGCACAAAGGAGAGTGGAGTATTGGAGGAGGATGGATCACTCCACGTCTCCTTCCTCAGCCCATTTGGTTTCCATACTATCCATGCAGGAGCCAGGATGGACATTTTGTGGACTGGAGGATGAATGGGTCACACCATCACCATCAATTTTCCAGTGTGCTGGGAGGCTGCTAGCCTGTCTTTTCTTGTTGGCTCTTCCCACGTGGTTGGCAAGGAAAGGCAGGCTGCTGGTTTCTTTGCTAGAATTGCCTGAGAATTTTGTTCCAGTACATCTTTGACTGCAATTCAACCAATGTACATCTCTCTGATCCAAACACAGGCATGAATGCCCTCTGTGGTCAAGCTTTTATATTGCCAAGCTTGCAATGTGATTCACGCTACAAGTAGGTAGTGTCTGAAGATTGTGTTTAGTGGAAACACACACGTTTAAAAACAGGCACATTTCAAAAGTGCACCCAAATAGGCTTTAATGAACCAATGGGAGAAAATGTGTACATTTCAAAAAGTGCACAGTTGATGTGTACATTTGTGCAAATGTGCAAGGAATTCTGCCATTTGATTGGTGTGTATTGTTGCTACTCTTTTAAAGCAGAGTGCCAGGAACTGCATGCTGGGAACTGTGCCCCAGTGCTTTGCCAGCAGAGAATGGCACTGCCTACAAGTTGCCTGGGGACATCAGTGGGACGGTGCAAGAACCCCCATTGTGCTCTGATGAGCAACCACAACTCCAGCAGTCTGCTCAGTGCATGCAGCAGATGGCCCACAGCTGCAGCTTCAAGCGGCCTCCCTGTGGCAGCCATTCTGCATGAAGTCCCAGCTGGACCAACTTCAAGCACCCATTCCCCCTGAACTCCATGATGGGTGATGTGATGACTCCTAGGCGGGCTTAGTTGCAGTATTAAAACTTGCCACTAGATGTCTCTGCACCCTTGTCAGTCTCCGTGGAGTGGAGAGAACCCAACCTGATCATCCTGAGTGCCCATCTCACCTTCAGACAAGACCCCTTCCCCTTCACTGCAACGTTTCCTGCTTCTGTGGTTGCATGCAAGGAGATACCAATGACTGCAGCCATCCGTGCACCCTCTGCAGTGCCTCACATTCCCTTAGCAAGGACACGGCTGAGGCCACTGACAACTCCTCGGGGTTGGATTCCAGGCCCTGACAGCCCTAGGCAGCGTGGCCAATGGTCAGCACTGCTGGGATTGCTGTAGCCCAGCAATAGCTGAAAGGACACAGGTCCCTCACTGCCATAGGGACTTTTTTGCATTGCTGGTGTAAGGATACCGATTCTGCTGCTGCAACTTGAGAGGTGAATCTTCTTTTAGAGCAGAAGCACGCTCACGAGCAATGCCATGATGCCCCACCAGGTCTGCAATTTCACCCCACACAGCAGTGTTAGAATCAGACTTTTAGCAACACAGAATTGACACTGAATTCAAGGTATACAAGTGGCACTTAAGGCTGCAGAAACCCACCCTACCCTGCAAGTTAGTTTAAAATACGTAGGCTGTCAAGGGAGTCTATTTATTTAACACATGAAATTCAGACTTGTCTTTTGTGGGAGCTATCAGTGAGTTTAAGAGCTGTTGCTTAAATAATCATCAGCTTTTCACTGTACAGCTGATCATTTCTATAGCAGTACAACATACTAGCTAGTGTTAGCAATGCAAGGTATTTAGAAAATGTAGCATGACAAAATACATGATGAATCATTATGATGAAATGACTGAGGGGAAGCCCTGTTGAACTTCATGGGGATGTACTTCCATGGAAATGTATATAAGATTGCATCAAACATCTCTTGAATAACTGACACAGCTCCCCTAATTGTCTGGACAACCCATCTGTGAAAACATATATTTCATTTATTTGTATGTTACTGACTCATTAATGTTGTTGGCTTGTAATTGCATTGTTGTCATTGTAAACTGGATAGAACTTCCTAGAAAAGTAGCATCTAAATGTTTTCAGAAATAAAAGAAATAAAATAGATATGAAAATGTTCATTCTTTTTTGAAAGTATCTAAGCACATTTGTATGTATGTGGCCAGCACAATTTTAAAGGGGGTGGGCACGATTACTCAGGGGTCATATCTCATTCTCAGAACACCTACTTTGATTGCAGAAGTCCTTGGTTCAATTCTCCAGGTAGGGCAAGAAAAGCTCCTGCCTGAAATGGAAAAAGACTTTGCCAGTCAGTGACTAGGTTGAGACAACACCCAGCATGCATTGCTGGTAAAACATGGGTTATTGTGTTGTCTGAACCCAACTGCACTAACAAACCACAGTTAATAATTACAAACAACCCATGAAAGGAATACATGGTTTGTTGTTTTGTTGTGACCTATGGGTTGTTCACCTTTGTTTAAATTGCAGCTGTGTTCAGACAATGTGAACAACCCTTTTTACAGTAACAGTCCATGGTTCAACTACAACCCAGGCATGACTCGTGTGTGTTATCATGCTGCCTAAACACACTGGAACCAATATTTCGGTAGATGGACAGGGTATAAGGCAACCTCCCATGTTCCTAAGAGGTTTTTCTCCTCTTCTTCCACTCTTATCAAAGGACATGCCACTGCCAAATGGATAGTACCTCTGCTATGACTCATTATAGGGGAAATACAAATGTTTTAAAAGTAAGATGCATGGTGATAAAGATTTGCCTGTTGAAGGACTTTAGGAAGTAGCAGAAGTCTCATTCTAATGCTGGAGATGGAGCTATTCTGGTGGGAATGACACTTATTGGAGGAACTCATCTGGCCTGCCAGCCCGCTGTAAGCCTGAGCCAGCATAAATGCCAGCAGTGATGACATATCTTTAACCAGGGTTATTTAGGACTATAGGATTGCTCTGCCAGTCTGCATGTCCATAAATCAATAATCAATGGGGGACAGTTCAAATAAACTCTTTCTGATATATTGAAATGTAAGTTACCTTCCAATTTATACAAACAAAGCTGGTCCCTTGGTATTGAGGCCATCTTTCACATTTCTCCTTTTTGCATCCTATCAGGGCAACACTGAAGAATAGAAAGCTGCAAAGAATAAGTTTGCACAAAGCTATCAACCCCTGCAGTTGGTCTTTGACCCCAGGGAGCCATTGCAAAATGGATGCTGTGCTGGCCATGGAAAAATCAAGCACACCTTTGAGCTCAGAGGACCTTATTCTCCCGACTTATTCTCTCTCTGCATGAGTTACTGCTTTGGGCATGATACCTCCTCCTAAGCTTGTACAAAAACACTCAGCTGCTGAGGCTGTGTCATTCTCCATCCCAATAAGCTGTCCTTTTTCATTACATTATGGATTTGACTGAGGCATATAACAGCACTTTACTAAGACCACATCTGCTGTTGCTGCTGCTTCATGAGAGACTTAGAGCATCCTTCACATAAGGTTTGTTTGTTTGTTTGTTTTTAACTATGGACCTTTTCTTCTCTGCCTTCTGGATGTTCCTGGATGTTTTGTTGCACTACACAAGGTGGTGTTGTGATACAGAGAGAAATTGTGAACCTGCATTAAGCTTCTGTAGTTAATAATGGCACCATTCAGGAAAATTTTCAACTTGCCTCACTCTAAAAGAGAAGCCACAAAAATGCCCAGAAAAACCAGTAGAGGCCTTGTGGGGTGTTGACATTGTGGAAAGGTTCTCCAAGGCTCCACAAATGAGGAGTCAGAAGCACATAATAAATGCTTTTTGTAGAGAAGCCCTGAGAATGATGTCTCCATCCCATTTTAATTGAGAAATGATAATATTTCCACTATGGCTGGGCAGAGTTTCCACTCCATTTTACAGCACCATATTCCACAAAATGGGAAGCACATTTCCATTATCAGGGATTTTGGAGAGTTGGGAGAAACATATTCGAGATCTTCATTGTTCTGTTGGTTGGCCACCCCATTTTGTGATGGTCATGTTTCTCCAACATGACTCCGAGACCGGGAGTTTGAAGTGCTCTAGAATGTTCATCAGTAAAGAGTCTCCACCAAACCCTGAAAATGTGAAAAGGAAATGCTGTCTTTTTCCTTTTGTTGACAAAATGTCACAATGAATAGTTCCTCAAATTCCAGCAGAACAGAGGTTGAAAAGTTTGTTGGAAACAAGGAAAAGCTCCTTTCAATTCTTGCCTGGAACCAAACTAAAATTGAAAGGACCTTGTTAAAATCATTAGCCAACAAATATCCATCCTGTTATAGCAGCCACAACCAGCACCCTTTAGGCCTTTCATAAGATTGTTTCAACTGTATTTTCAGCTATCAGTAAACATTTCCTTGAGCAAATGTAGAAGCCTGTGTTTTGTGGAAGCAAAGAAGGAGTCAATCCAGATTTCCTGCCATTTGTTGCAAGTCCTTTCTCTCAACTAAGTAGCTTGGTTTCTTCTCCAAGGGACCAAATCCTCTGAAAGAAATGAGGAAACCTCCATCACTTTCTGCTATGTGATGACCTCAGTGTTGACATCATAATGCAGGATATTTTGCTGACAATGGTTCATGAGGTAGGATGGTTCTATCCATGAGGTGAGTTCAAACTTGCCCACAAGATTCAATTTGGACTAGGAATGTATGAAGGAATCTGCTTTAGGGAGTGAGAATCCAGTGGATTCCCTCAGCTTGACTCTGACCCACTTTCTTGCAGTCTGACTCCAACTTGGTGCTGGTCATGCCAAGCATTCCAGTGGGTTCCCACTGGGAATTAAGACTGCACAAATGCTGTGTAGGCAGAGTTTCCCTTCCTTGTGTGAGTCTTGTGGTCTTTGTACGTACTGTGGAGGAAGGCTGCTGGGTTGTGCAAAATGAGCTCCATGAGCATTCATGAGCATCATTAGCTTAGTTCATAAACACTAAGTCATCTTTGCACAGGAGTTTTGATTCATGGTGGTGTTTGGGTGCTTCTGGATAGGGTGGCTGCATGGTGACAATTGACTTGCCCCCATATTACCACCCTGAAACAACATCTTTTCTCAAATTCTCTTAAGAGCTTTGCACTCCTGGAATAAATTTCCAGCTTAGAAAATAATCAAATCATGATGTGCAGGATAAGAAACTAATCAGAAGGTGGGCAGCTCCCTGAGACACCAGGAGAGAAGGAAGACTGAAAGCAGAACTAGCTCTGGGTCATGGGGATATATATCTTTCATTCAAATGGGAAAGCTGGGGCAAGGTTGGCTCACACCACAACCAATTTTCTGGGAGCGCTCCTTCTTATGTCCCACCTCTGCCTTTAGGCAAAAGTTGAACTGCTGCCAGCTGAAGGCCAAAGTTTATTTTGGAGACATTCTTGAGGGCAGCATTCCAATGGTGGGAGGGGCCAGAGACAAAATGGGTGGGGCTAAGCATCTCCCCAGCCCCAGCATATTTTAGCTTCAAGTTCTTGCTGTCTCGAACTAACCTTAGGAGAAAAAGACAGGCATTTGCATTGGGGAAAGAACTGCACTCAACCTTAGAAATTTCCTCATGATTGGTAATCAGGAGAAGAGGGTGGGGCCAGAGGAAAGGGTCATGGCCCCTGGGAAGGCTTGGAGGGCCAAATGTGGCCCTTATCGCTGAGGTTTGCCACCCTGCATTTTGGGTTCCTTGCTTCAGTGAAGATGATTTGCAATTACTTAGTGGCATTAGTGTACACACATGCATAGGCCTTTTCATAAACAAAAACACAGCTCAAGCTTCTTGAGGAACATGCAGAGTAAATCTAGTTAGGGAGGGGGAGATGCCTATTTTGGGAAGGGAGGAAAGGCAGAGGTTGCATTCAGAGAGAGGGTGACTCACACAGCATCTTCCTTGCTGTGTCGCACACACCTCTGCTATCATAATCCTTGTCTTGCTGGATGGTGAAGGGTGTGGCACATGACTTGGATTTTCACAGGTATGTGTATATTTGGGGGGGGCACCCCACACCCTTTTTAATTTGAAAACTGGGTTTCATGACTGTCCTATTTAAAGGTAAGTACTGTCATACTCAGAAGCTGTTTTGAAGGTGTCAGGCTTGCAAGTCACAATGATGAACTTGGACTGTTAAGATCAGTACAATCCAACCCAGTAATTTGAGTCTCAGCCTTGATTAACCCCGACCTGGGAAGTTCATCAGAGTTTCTTCAGGATGCTTGCATCCGCGGCCTGAGTCAATGGAACATTCATCTCAAATCATGCTCAGAAAAGGGATTTACGCCATTTTTTATGACTAATGAGGCACAGAGGTCAGACCCAATGGACAGATTGTATAAGGCAGATCTCTGGCTTTGGGGTCATACACATGGGCCCACTGCTTTAAGTAAGAGCAGCATTCATTGGCTGTTCAAGCTGAAAGGAGGTAGTGGTCGGATGGTCTTTTGTGAATAGCTAGAAAAAAGGACATAAATCACCATTTGTTTTTCACAGCTGTTAGAATTTGCACTAATTTGCTTAAGACAGATATATTGGGAGAATTGGGAACTGTCCAGTAAAATACTGACAAATTGTCTTAGACAACAAAAACATTGAATCACTCTCTCAGCGATTAAAGACGATAGTGGCTAGATTGATCACCCATCCTATAGATATACATTTTCCATTTTTAAACTTCAGTGGCTGTGAAATATAAAATCACAGTATTGATTTTTTCCTCAGCTTAATTATACTAGTCTAGATATGTGTCAAAGGGAGTTTTTAAAGGTGCCTTTGCAGATTGATGAAATTGCCAAACAGTAACTAATATGAAAATAAGGTAAGTGGCTGGTCTGGATGGATTTCCAATTGAGTGGTCTAAAGCAGTCCCAAGGTTTTCAGTTCCTAAACTTCATCAGTTGTATAACTCTATTTGACTTGGGTTCTATTTCATCAGCATTCAATGTGGCTTCTGTTACAGTAACTCCTAGAGAGATCTGTGCTAACTATTGACCTATTTCATTGATCAGTGTTGATATTAAAATATCCATTGCAATTTTGGCTGACAGACTACAACAACTTAGTGCAATGTTTGTTCAGATCAGACTAGGAGCTGACAATCTTAGATTGGTTGCTGATCTGATGGCATTGAATAGGAATAGAACAGTTGCTATTATCTCTCTGGATGAGAAGATATGTCATAAAAATCATTGGAAATTTTTCTTTGCCACATTGAGAAATGTAGCTTTTATTCCAGAATTTCAGAAATGGATTAACCTTTTATATGAAACCCCTAGAGCTAGGGTTAGGAGAGGGAGGAGAGGCAGCTGGGGCATTTGAGGAGTTTGAAACTGAGCTGAAAGAAGGAAGAGTAGGGAGGTGGATTGTATCCAGGATGGATGGGTTCCAGAGGATCCCATCTCTGGGAATGAGTGGAGACAGAAGCTGGAATGAGGGGACATAGAAGCCATGAGAATGTAGAAACCACTTGATCATGTGCTGGGTAGACTGAGGTAGAAGACCATGAACTGTGGTAACCATGGATGGTTAATTGTTGGGATGTGCAAACCCACCTTATATCTGCATTGGAGGGCAGATTGAAGCTGAGCTGAGTTGTCCTGTTTTAATTTGGCATCTGTGTCTTTTCCATCCTTACAATGACCCATTGTCAAGCCTGTATTGCAGATTGTGGACAAGGGCTAAAGTTGAGAGAGAGAATGATAGAGGGAGAGGGAGAGGGAGAGGGAGAGGGAGAGGGAGAGGGAGAGGGAGAGGTTGTTCTTTGCCCTCCCTCTTCAGTGGATGTTGTGGCTGGGACTTGACATTTGACTGAGGGCTTCCTGGATTTTAGCTCCTGGTTTCAGCTAAAGGACAGTTCCAGAGTTTTCTGCTGGAAATTAGCAGCTAGAACCACATATTTAATCCCCCCACCCCCACAAATGACCTCAAGACTCTTCATCTTCCAGGCTGGCCAAGGAACCTGCCCCCTCTTCTGAAACTGTCCTCTGTCTGAAGGAATGCCCAGTCCCAAGTCCAGTGCAAAGGTGAGGAACCCTCGCCTTCTCATATAATGCTGGTCCTCTACCAGCTCCACTGGCTTCCAATTCAAGGTGCTGGTTTTAACCTCTAAAGCCCTGAACGACTTGGGACCAGGATACCTGAAGGAGTGCCTCTTCCCTTACATGCCCTTAAGGGGCGTAAGATCTGCGGGAGAGGCTCTGCTCCGGGAGCCCTCTTTAAAGGAGATAAAAAGAACATCTACCCAGAGCAGGGCCTTCTCTGCGGTGGCACCCAGATTATGGAATGTGCTCCCTGGAGAGGTGCCCCTGACGCCGAGTTTATATTCTTTTCAGCACCAGGTTAAAACCTTTTTATTTAATTGCTATTTTAAAAAACTAATATTTTATCATTAACAGTCTCTCTTTTTGTTTTTTGTTTTGTTTTTATATAATCTTTTATGGAATTTGTTATTGTTTTATTTTTTTAATTGTATGTGTTGTGAACCACCCCGGGATGCTCAGGCATGTGGTGACAGCATACAAAAGTTTAAACAAACAACCAAACAAACTCCTGAAAGGAAGATCTGGCACAGCACCAGGACAGCAGGTCACCTGGTTGAGCAAGGTTACCTGGCCATAGTCTCAGTGAGATGCACTGCATTTTCATTTAAATTATAAGAATTAGCTCTAAGTTTGCCTCTGAGTATGCATTTGCTATGCAAAGTGGGGCATCTCTTGCCCCCTTTCCTAAGTGGCCATCCTTCTTGACACACTTCTTGGCCTGGAGGCAAACAGCTCTTACCACAGGAGCTACAAACGGGAATTTCCTGTCTACTGCCTGTGTCAATTTGATTTCTATCATAAACTCAGACCTGTGGCAGCGGAGACATCATAGGCTGAGAAATGTGCACACGCCCCTTCCTGCCCTTGTCATGCCATATCCTCACTCTCCATCCCCTAAAGCTCCTCCTTGCTCTGCCCCATAAGAACCACCCACACATCTATCTATATAATCAGGGAGCCATAGCCGGTTTGGTTCCTTCCATTCCCTGTGCCTCCCTGAGATTTCCTCATCTGTGCTCCTAGAACAATGAAGACCTGGACCTTGGTCCTCTCAGTAGGAATTGTCTGCGGCCTGGCATTTGGATGTAAGTCTTTACAGATTGAAGTGTTTGGATTACTAGTGGGGAATCTGTGCGTGGCTCTCCAGATGTTGCTGGAGCCCAAGTCCCAAGAGCCAGCATAGCCAATGGTGATGGAAGTGGTGGTTCAGAAACATCTGGAAGGACTCTTTTCCCCCATCCTTGGCTGGAAGAACTGACTCAGAGAATGGGAGTGTAAGAAAGACGTATTATGGGGTGATGCTGAAGGATGCTGAGGAAGCGTGTCCTTGGAATTTTAGGTCCCTCTCATGGAGGGGTGGGCAGGTGGGCAGCTTATGAGATGGAACTCTCGCTTTGCATGCAGAAGGTCCCGGATTTGATCTCCAGCACCTCCAAGTAGGGCTGGGAAAGAATCCTGCCTGAAAACCCAGAGAGCTATGGCTGCCAACCATTTTTGAAAGTAGTGGTCTAGATGGATTAAGGATTTAGCTCAATAAAGGGCAGCTTCCCATGTTCCTAAGGATGCCCTGCATAGGGAGAGTTAATGACCTACAGCCTCATTGCACAAAGTGGATTTATTTTTCAGGAGTGAACAAGCATAGGATTAGGTGGATTGGGATGCATAGATGCCATCCTATGCTCACTTACCTGGGAGCAAATCCACTTGCCTTTGGAACTTACTTTTGAGTAGATACACCTAGGACTGCACCATTAGGTTGCAGTCTATGCACACATGAACTCAGTAGGGGTACAATAAAACATGTAGAGGGTTGAGATTTTCAAAGTGTGCTGAAAACCAAAGTGTGCATAGGTATGCGTGAGGTATCTGTCTGGGGGTGGCAAGCCATCAGATTCCCTGGGCTTGGCTCCCCAAGTTCTGATCCAGGGTCCAGGTTCCTGGTGAGCTTGCCCAGCACTAATGGGGCACTCACCAGGAATCAAGCACCACATGCTAAGCTGCATAAGCAACATCCTGAGGTGGAAGAAGGTTGGTTGCAAGGAGTTCTCCAAGAATGGATCCCCACATATCTGCTAGCAGTGTCCCTTCTGTGCCAGCCATTTGGGCTGCTGCACCTGATGGAGAAGAAGGCTGGTCTCATGGGGCTTTCCAGGAATGGAGTGCCATGCACAAGCAGTTCCCTCTACCATGCCACCTGGAATGGCCTTTGTGCTACTGGACCTGATGTGGAAGAAGGTTGCCAGTTGTGCAAACTCTGTTTCATGAGCATTGGTGGGCTTCTTCTTGGTTTGACTGTGAATACGAAAAGGATTTTCTTAGGTTTTGCCCCAACTAAGTGTGCTTACTAGGGATGAAGCACCAGAGTTTTGGCTATTTGGCAGTATAGATATGAAATTAACAATGGCAACAGTGTGGCTGGCTTTGAAGAAAACACACCTCTGATTGCCCTGTTAGAGCAGGTTCACACACACATGGGTGTCACCTAATGACTCTCTGTTATATTGCTTTTGACTTGCGAACTGTTTTTGTTGTAAAGCACCACATTTAAGGATGATAGGAATGTTCTGCCTCTGGGAATCAGATGATGATGATGATGATGATTATAACATTTCTA